TAAAATTTTTTTACTCTTAGAACCACTCGAGGTTCTCCTTACGGTTGTTGAGCTTGTCACCGTCAATGTGTCTGACCTTCGTCTTCTTGCCTGGATTTGGAACCCATTGAATTGCGACAAGCTTGCCCATGGAGATTGAACCGCGATTCCGAAGGTTAAGGTTCAAGTGTCCCAAGTTGTTGAGGACTGGGGTAAGAACCTTGCCTGTCTCCTTGTTGCGGATTTGGTATGGGTAGGGTTGGGAAATTTCGTAACCGTCATCGGCAACAAGGGTTGCCCATGTAGCGGCTTCAGGAACTTCTTCGTGTTTCTCTTCTTCCTCTTCTTCCTCGACAATTCCTTCTTCAATTTGGTACTCACGAAGTACGGTGTTGCATGTTCTGTCCTTTCCGAGTACCTTCCAGATGGCGTCTATCTCTTCGAAGAAACGGTAGATGAGTCTGGCAAGGTCTCGGTTCTCTCTCTCGTAATCGCGCAAGGTTTCCGTGAAATCGTTCAGGCATTTCTCATTGGAAGCTTGGTTCATGAGGACATCGGCTTTAAGTTCCTTCATCTCTGTCATAAGACTACTTTGGAGAGTCTTAATAGTGTTTGTCAGATGAGCTTTCAATTGGGCAATTTGAATTTGAACTGGGCGCTTGTCTGGCAACCTTGAAAGGACATCTGCTATTGTGTTCGGCTTCGGTGCTTGTTCGGACATCGAAAAAATGAAGTGGTTTGAGAATGGCGGTTTTACTTCAAAAAGCTTGTTATGACAGTTATGTCATACAACAAGTTTAAAATAATATCTTATTCTTCTTCTGAACGTTTGTTGTCTCTTCCGATAAAAGTTTCGAACATGAGAACCAAAAAACGTTTTTTGAGATTGCGGAAGAGTTCAGGCAAACGTTCATATTCTGGATATGTTGGGAGCAGTTCAAAACATCTGAGCTGACTTTCGGACAAAATTGGGACAATGTCAGAAAATTCATCTTTGGTCGGACTGCTTGAAGGTAAGTCCCTTACATGTAAGTAGCTCTGGTAAAGTCTTCTCATTTCTGCTAACTTCTGGAGTATAGCTTCGTAATTTAAGAGTTTTAATTTTAATTGTCTTATTCCTCTCTTGACATCTAAACGGTAAGTATCCATGAGGTCAAGAGTAGCTTTGGTAGCTTTAAGTGGAGCTATCTGTTCCTTGACTTCTGCAATTTTGGTTGCAATTGTGGTTTGAGCTCCTTCAAGTTCGCCATCTATGTCGTTCTCAACGCCTTCAACCATAGCTTGAAACTCTTCATCGGTCCATTGAGATTGGTGTGGGACGAATTTAACTTGCTTCATTCAAAAAATGAAAAAAATGCTTTTACTCAAAGCGTGCCATGTATATGGCTATAAGAAACTTACCAGAAGGCTTCTTCTTCACATGAGTAAAAACATAAAAAAAGTGAGTTAAAATGAGATGTTTACTGAATTGGTTGGATGTCGCCTTCACAGGTTATGTAGAACGGCTGACCAGAGAAGTGAAGGAGACCCCTGAGAATTTGGTTCATTCTTGGGAAAGGGTTCTCTCTGTTTGGAAGTAGTATCCAAGGACGCTTGGCAAAGAACTTTATAATGGCTTCCTTCTTTGCTTGCTTTATGTCGTCGAAGGCTCTCCCGTCTGGTATTTGAATTGGAATTCCAGTCGAAGTCTCGAGATTCAAGGCAGCCCTTCCCCTTATCCAACCGTTAACGAGCTTGCCTTTTACATTCTGCCTGAGGAAGTCTTTAACAAGCTCGTTAATTTCAATTAGGTAAATTGCCTCGTCGGTAGGTTCGACCTCGACCATTGCTACTGTCAGTAAAAGTACTGCTACTGTCAGTAAAAGTACTGCTACTGTCAGTAAAAGTACTGCTACTGTCAGAAAAAGTACTGCTACTGTCAGTAAAAGTACTGCTAGGAGCAGAAAAAAAAGGAAAATTTGAGAGGGTTTTCGACGATAAAGTACTGCTACTGTCAGAAAAAGTACTGCTACTGTCAGTAAAAGTACTGCTACTGTCAGAAAAAGTACTGCTACTGTCAGTAAAAGTACTGCTACTGTCAGTAAAAGTACTGCTACTGTCAGAAAAAGTACTGCTACTGTCAGTAAAAGTACTGCTACTGTCAGTAAAAGTACTGCTAGGAGCAGAAAAAAAAGGAAAATTTGAGAGGGTTTTCGACGATAAAGTACTGCTACTGTCAGAAAAAGTACTGCTACTGTCAGTAAAAGTACTGCTACTGTCAGAAAAAGTACTGCTACTGTCAGTAAAAGTACTGCTACTGTCAGTAAAAGTACTGCTACTGTCAGAAAAAGTACTGCTAGGAGCAGAAAAAAAGGAAAATTTGAGAGGGTTTTCGACGATAAAGTACTGCTACTGTCAGAAAAAGTACTGCTACTGTCAGTAAAAGTACTGCTACTGTCAGAAAAAGTACTGCTACTGTCAGAAAAAGTACTGCTAGGAGCAGAAAAAAAAGGAAAATTTGAGAGGGTTTTCGACGATAAAGTACTGCTACTGTCAGAAAAAGTACTGCTACTGTCAGTAAAAGTACTGCTACTGTCAGTAAAAGTACTGCTACTGTCAGAAAAAGTACTGCTAGGAGCAGAAAAAAAAGGAAAATTTGAGAGGGTTTTCGACGATAAAGTACTGCTACTGTCAGAAAAAGTACTGCTACTGTCAGTAAAAGTACTGCTACTGTCAGTAAAAGTACTGCTAGGAGCAGAAAAAAAAGGAAAATTTGAGAGGGTTTTCGACGATAAAGTACTGCTACTGTCAGAAAAAGTACTGCTACTGTCAGTAAAAGTACTGCTACTGTCAGAAAAAGTACTGCTACTGTCAGTAAAAGTACTGCTACTGTCAGTAAAAGTACTGCTACTGTCAGAAAAAGTACTGCTACTGTCAGTAAAAGTACTGCTACTGTCAGTAAAAGTACTGCTAGGAGCAGAAAAAAAGGAAAATTTGAGAGGGTTTTCGACGATAAAGTACTGCTACTGTCAGAAAAAGTACTGCTACTGTCAGTAAAAGTACTGCTACTGTCAGAAAAAGTACTGCTACTGTCAGTAAAAGTACTGCTAGGAGCAGAGATTTTTATCGTTGTGGTCCGACAGGACACAAACGAATGTCCGACGTCCCACCAACCGAGTCCATTCCCAAACCAGAGGAACCTAAAGAACCACAACAGTCTCCTCAGCAACCTCAGTTCCAGCAAGTACCTCCGAATTACTACCAATTTCCACCTCAAGGTTACTACCCACCACAAGGCTTCCCGAACTACCCTCCTCAGCCTATGCCTTACTTCCCCAACCCTTGGTTGTTCCAGCAAGCTCCACCCCAGCAATTCCAATTCCAATCTCAATCGAAGAGAGACCAAGACTTCGAAGAAGGTCTGAACCGCTTACGCAAAGAGTATGCTACAGCTCCAATGGAAGACGACAGGCTTTCAGTCTCTTCCCTAAGGTCGACCAATTCGACTCGTACCACAGATTCGGTTCGTGACCGTGAAGACTACCTCAAGCAGTCTGAGAGACTCTTCATCTTACAGCCATTTACAGTTGGAGCTCTCAAGAACATGCGCAATTACGAAGGTCAGACACCAGCTGGAGACCGCAAAACAGACGTACTCGCAAGAGCCGTCCAGCTCGTCAAAACAAAGACGGAGATAGTCGACTTCATACTTGCAGCTTGCCCTTACAAGTAAAAAAATAAACAATTACGAATTAAACTTTTTACTCTTTCTTTTCTGAGTTGTTTAGAGCTGGTTTCTCTTGTAGAAACCTTTCGTACTCTTCCATGGTCATGTAATTGCGAATTTGGTACGCAATTCCAGGTTCGTTGTTTTTGAACCTGATGTATGTAACGCTTCCATCCTCCTCAGGGAAGTAGGCTGCTAACATCTGACCAAGTTTTCTCGGTGACTCGGAGCTCATAAAAATGTCACTTTTTAAACGTTAAGTTTTTAGTCTTATTTTACCCTTTGTTTTCAAGGTAGTATTGGAGCGCAATTTCTCCAAATTCTCTGTGTCGGAGTTCTTCAGCATTTTCCAAGGTGTACCTGGAGAACTCAAAGAAGTTGTCAAGAAACATACTGCCATGCTGCTCTTCTGAGTTCGTCGGTATTTTGGAAGTGTTGCACCTTCGAGTCTTCGGACATGAAAAAATGACACTTTTTCTATTAAACCGTTTTGGCATTTCTCATGAGTGAGTATAGTTCTGCCGAACCATTGGAAGAGAAGAAGTACCCTTGCTGGCAAAAGACAAAAATAACGTTTACCATGTGAAACGTTTATAAAATAACTGGGGTAGAAATGAGGTGAAAAAACAGGTGAAATATCACCTCTTCACCTAAATTATATTTTTATTGAATTCAGCACAAAAATCATGAATTTCCTTAAGATAGAAAAAATAAAGTTAGTTTTATTTTTATTTATTTTTTTATTTTGTATGTAAAGACAGATATGTCAACAACAGAGAAACACACAACAGTTATAGTCCATGAAGCTATAAATGAAGAATATGAGTGGGTTCAGTTTAACAAACAACTCCGTCTCATTCGTTCGGTCAAAGACGATATGTACCAAATGCAAAGTATTTTGACAGCATGTTTTGCTCCAGATACTAAGAAACCACAAGACTGGTTTTAGGAACCAAAGCACTATTGAACTATTAAATGAAGCTGAAAATTCGACTACGGATTTTTTCGTAGTCGCAAAAACTCGAGTAAGTAAAAAACCGCAGTCGCCAAAACTCTATGAAAATCGTGAAAAATTGCCAAACGGTTTGAGAGGAGGATATTATGTACATAGACTTCTTGTAAATGCTGTTGCAATGTGGGCTTCGCCTCGTTATGCTTGGTATATTTACAGACTTCTTGACGAAATTCATAGACAAGAACGTGAAGAGATGGAAACAAGCTTGAAGCAAAAGACAAAAAGCATTCAGAAAAGAATACCACGTTCGGTACCAAAAGGAAAGGAAAAGAATATAAGTATATGATTTATACTGAAGAGATGGAAAATGAAGAAGATAAAGATATGGTTATGTTGCATTTAGTCAGAAGAAACAACAAAAGCTTTTACGACCTTGCTAAGATTTACAAATCTGACAGAAATTGGTTCTATCGCGAAAACTTACCGATTTCAATGACCCCAAATGAAGATGTGAAACAAATAGTTCAAGATACGTTACCTCAAACACACTATGATATGAAAGGTTGTACAATACTTACCTTCAAAGAAGACTTACCGCTACTGAAAGAAAAAATAACAGAGTATTTTGACAACTTCAAACAAGCAGAGTAAATGAACTCTTTATTTTTATTGACTTTTTACAATTTGAACTTTATTTGCGTAGATATGAATTCTGAAAGAAGTATGAGGGTCTTGTATGACTTTATACTTCTCCCATAGTTCATGTCTGTCAAACTTACCTGCCATGGACTCTTTCATAAGTTCCATGAAATCGTCTTCGGACAATCCGGGGAAAAGTATTATGTCAGTAAGTATTCTTTTAACATCCTCACTTAAACTCTTTGCTGTCTGTACACAAATGACAACTGAGATGTTAAAGTGTCTGAGCTTCTTAAGAATTCGACACATGTCTTGTTCTCTATTCTTTAACAAAGGATGAGAAGCAAAGTCATCTAAGATAAGAAGACATCTATGAGGGTAAGTCTTCCAATCGTAAGATTGCAATTTCTTCGAAATGTATTCTATCTCTTTCTGTTTGTTTCTGAAGTGTTTCTTCTCTAATATTCTCTGCAGTTCCTCATTTGGGTCTTTAAACTTAGAATTTATATACTCATTTATAGCATTATACTTCAAAACTCTTCTTTGGTACTTCTTTATCCAATCTAACAACTCAGTATCCTTTATACATACTAACTTAGACTTCTTTATAATATCTTTGAACGAATTGACGGTTTGGTCAAATTGACCAGAAGTCGAACAAATAACAACTAACTCATAGAATGGGTTCTTCTCATCTAGTTCTTGTTGTTGTGCAGCCATTTTAAGATAAGTGAAAGTCTTACCCGACCCAGGTGGTGCAATTAGACCTGTTATACCATTCTGAGCAAATAAGAACTTTTCATGTATAGGCTTTATCTGAGCATTTTCTAACTTCCTCTTGTTCTTGTTTAAAACATTCTCAAATTTCTTGTCAATGTCAGCAAACTTTTTTTCTAACATATTTTTAGAAAAATTAAAATTTTTATCTTTTAGAAAATGTCTAGCGATTTCGCTATCTATATTCGAGACAAGCTTTTCGACAGCAAAACATCTGTCGACCATAAAATCTTACATAGTGTAAACAAGAAAGGTGAATTTGTTCTAAAGTTCTGTTTCTGGGAATATGACAAGAACCATAAAACATTAAGCAGAGCAGTCTTAAAATTTGTCAATGACAGACTTGTTGACAGAGATGACGCCGATTGGAAAGATGAAGTCCAACAAAACTTCTTAGAATGCAAAGAAGACACATGCGCTGTTCTTGAAGATGAAATAGAAAACAGAATAGAAGAGCTATTAAAGGACAAAGAACTTTTACATAAATATGGTTGCGCCAAATTTGACATAACTCCACCAGAAAAGAAGAAGAGAGAAAAGAAAGAAAAGAAAGTAGAAGAAGAGAAGAAAGAACCTGAACCAGTTCCAGAGAAAAAGAAATTTGACATGTAAAAATAAAATTTTATTTTTAGAACATTTCTGGGTCAATGTCAATGTTCTCTTCCTCTTTAGGAGTAAACACTGGCTTAGACTCTAAAATCTTTTTACCCAATTTTACCTTGAACTTCTACAACTTTAGACTCATAATATTCATAGTCGTCTGCTTTCTTTGGTTCATAAGGTATAACAAGTTTGTATGCTTTGCCTTCTTTAAGGTTTGAGAACCTTCTGTCAAAACTTTCTTTGACTGTTAACAAACCTTCTATGTCTAAGTCTTCAAATTTCGCACCATTTTTAGTCACAATAGCAAACTTAACTGGTTCGATGTTCCAAACTTTGCTGAATGAAGACTTTTCAAAATGGTAGAAGTAAACATTCAAATATGTGAATGGGTCTAGTTCTTCTTTAAGTCCTGACATGTACTTGTTTACTGAGATGAATTTTCCATCTTTTCTATCGGATAAAAAAATATTTTTTTTAAAATTTACTCAGAAAAATTTTTCTTTGTATATACACCATTCTGTACGTCTAAAAGACTTTTGACATTTGCCAAGAATGTTCGTTTAGAAGCTGCATATAACCATATTCTTGACAATATTGTTTATATTCATCATATAAAGACCTTTCATCTAAACACTCAAAGTCAGTTTCATCTATGAACAGTTCATATACACTCTTGTTTGCTTCTAACAATGTTTGTCTCTCTTCGGTATGTGGAATTTGTCTTGGATTGAACTTAGAAATATCTAATGTCATGAAATATGAGAACAAGTGGTTGTAAAAGTCAGATGTCAAAGTTTCTGCTAAGTCGTCAAAATATTCTGTATCTTGCATATGAGAATCTGACGTTCTGACAACTACATATCTTCTGTCAGAACTTTCTAACTTCATCGGAACAGCATTGTTTGAAACCATAATGAAGTTTGCAACATTTTCACAAACTCTTTGGTCTTTATACTTTCTTTCAACAACTCCAACTTTATCTGTTATAAGACTCTTCAAAGCATCTGAGTTTAAAACTTTTGTTGTATCTATACTTTGAAGTTCATTGCAAACTATAAGTTTCATATTCTCTATTGAGGAGTTAAATTTACCGCAGATGTTTTCTAAGTTTGTCATATTCGGATTCGAATAGCCCTCTAACAGTTTGCACAAGATATCTGTAAAGAATGTGTTCTTACCTGTTCCTTGTTTTCCAATTATAATGAGAGCAGTTTCATTCTTAGCACTTGGATGTTGTAAGATGTTTGCAAACCAACATAAGATATACTCATAAACCTTTTCGTTTCCATTGCATATAATTTCTTTGACATGGTCTAACCAAGCTTCTATAATACTTGTTTCATTCTACTTGTTCGTATTTATATCCAGTGAAGATAGAATAGAAGTTTGGAGAAGGTGTATAGAACTTTATACCTCGAACTGAAAAATCTTCTAACTTTGACAATAAGATATCCCAAGCATCTAACATCTTCATTCCAACTTGTACAACTTTTATTTTCTTAAGTTTCTGTCTACATTCTTGTTCTGAAACTATTGTTGCTCTTGGTTTGTTAAAGACAACATCCCATTCTTTCATGACATAACATTCTGGGGCAGAGTCAACATAAATGACTAAACGTTTCAAATTCTCGACTGCTTTGTTATAGTCTCTAAATGGACACATATTTCTGAATGCTTGGAAGTCATAAAAATCTGAAACATCTATTCTGTACATTTTTATAAAAATAAAAAAATAATATTTTTTTATTCTTGACTTTGTTGTTCATTTGTTCATTTGTTGCATTTGTTGTTCTTGAGCTATTTGTTGTTGAAGTTGTTCTTGTAATACAATACTTTCACCAGTTGCATCTTCCAATTCGAAACTTTCTGCCGTCATTGACAAATACATAGGACATAAAAGTTTTACAGGAACAAAGTTTGCGTCAACTAATGTCAACGTTATACTTGCCAAAGTGTTTGAGTTCACTAAGGTTGAAAATTCTGCATTCGAATGAACAATAGGCAAACCAGCAGAGAAAGTATTGTTTATACGCATAAGTATCTTTTGGTCATAATAGTTTCTGTCGACATTCGAATAACACTTTGAACCTAAGTTTGAAACAATATATAAGATTGGTGTGCTTAATGTCAATGGAATAGACATTCCTTGTATGACACCTTTTCCTGTTATAGGAAACTGTTGGTAGTAAAAACCAGAAATAAGTTTTGTATTATAGCTCATATCGTTTATAGTAAACTCAGTCGGACATCCAAACATAATGAAACCTGCTCTAGTTGCAGCACATGTTACACCGTACTTAAAGTATTAAATAAGTCAACAAAACCTGTTGGTGGTATATCTGAGTAAGTATCTTCAAAGGAGTATTTTTTACCATTCACAACAATAAATCTTCTGGTGTCAAAAGAGCAAAACAGGCTTTAGTCGTCATTGTGTTTAAGGTTAGTTTACAATATCGTCCTTGAGGACTTTGTAAGTTTGTTGTTATAGAATTATATGACTCAGGGTTTTTAGTCGTAATAGTATAAACCATTATGTCTTCTGCCATTTACTTAGCAAATAAATTTTAATGAAATGTTGTGGTCGTCAAATATTTTTATAACGTCTGGGAAACTATATTTAAGTTCAACGTTTCACCTCCTTTCATAACGTATATCTTGTCAATGACATTATATGAAACACCACAGCAACTAATGTCGGGTTCTATTTCTTTGATGTTTATATCGTCTGCCTCTGTCAAAAGTTTCAATAGTTCTTTCAAAACTTCATGAGGTGCAATGACATATGAGTTCACTTTTACAGGGTTGTGTTCGACCAAGTTTAACATTATACTTAAAGCTTGACAAATCTTCTCCTGAGTTTGAAGTTTGTCTTTCAGTTGTTGGTAGTCGTTTCGAATATCTGCAACAGAACTTAAGTCTCTGCTAACTTCAGGATATGTTGGTTCTTTTACAGGAACAATTGTTATACCATCTTCGTCTTCGTATGGTTTCCCCACTTCAACATCTCTGTCTTTGACATTGACAACAACACTTTGACTGTTTGTTTGAGTTGGTGAATTTAACTTCACATCTGCCACCGCCATTAAACCTTTTGAAACACTTACGCTTCTATTTTTCGGAAATGACATTTTACTTAGAATAAAAAGATGGACGTATTCGGATATCTCTTCGAATTGAAGCAGAACAAAGTTTATACTCACAAACAATACAAATACATTGACAGAATAGTTCTTTACACAAACAATGGAAAATGTTATAGAATAGCAGTCTTTGCTGAACCTAAATATTTTCATAAAGCAAAGAAAGTTGGTATAACTGAAATGGTGAAAGTTCTTGAAGCAGACAAAAATATAACTTCAAAACTGACCGATATTACTAAAGGAAAGTTTATAATACAATATTATGTCAAAACTGGCGTACTGTCAATATTTGACGGAGAGAAGTCAGTTCAAGAACAACTTACTGACCTGCTGCCAAAATCTGCTCGATGGAAGCTGTCGTTATGCCAATCTGAGGAGCCCCAGCAGGTTTCATCGAACGAATCTTCAAAAGAGCATCTTCCGTGAAAAGTGCTATTGGTTTTGTAAACTTCTTTGCTTTCAATTCATCTGGACCGTCTCTGTCACCAGTATATTGTATTTGAACTGTACCAACAGTTGAAATACCACCCATAAAGTCTTCTGAGTCAGCAAATGGAATGCCAAGCCAAAAGTTTGAACGGTCTCCATTTGTATATTGAGTTTTTTGACCTCCTGTATGAGTCCATACTTTCACATATGGCATAATAGAACTTTGCATTTCAGGGTTAATGGTTGTTGTGAAGTTGTTGTTAAAGTTCATAGCATCTAATGTCAAGTTGTATGACCTCATATCCTCAACTGTAGAATATTCTTCTCTTGGATAATATTTGCCATCTATGTTTATATGATATTTAATACCAGGGTTGTAGAAACAAGAATAGTCATTTATAGTTCGTCTGAACAGTACAAACATAGTATCTGCATGTTTCATTGCAGTTGTTAAGCAATATCTGTTCTTGCACCTGGGTCAGCACTTTGGTTTCCAACTTCACCTGCAAAGTCTTTGACAGATATTTGGTGTATAGGGAACATAAGTGGAACTGCAATATATTTGGCAGCTAAAGCATTTGAAATATCTGGGTCCAACATATAAACGCAAGTCTGCTTTCTATTCTCTTGCATTCAAACTGTTCGCATGTGAACTTAACTGGGTCCCAAGCATTCCAGCAGCATTGAAATAATAGTTTACTTCAGTGTTGAGGTTTGAGAAACCAAAGTCTAAGTCAACTTTGTCTTTGCAAAAGTCACAGAACTTGGCTCCACCAGTTCCAGCTACAGTAATGCTGAATGGGTCTTGTGTTGGTGCAATGACTAAGTTATTTTTGCTTGGAGTAAGTTCGATAGAAATTTTTCCTGCCCAGTTTGGCAAGTATCTTAAAAACCTGAAGATGAGGAAAGATGACAAAGGAACTCTAAGTTTCAGTTTTACTTTGGTTACTGCTGCTGCAGTTTGTCCAGAAAGGTTAACATAAACTCCTGGAACGTTAGGGTCAAGTCTTCTTATTTTCTCAATAGTTGCATACTGGTCTGTTTGTTCTCTAGCTTGTGGTTGTACTGAGTTTCGCAAAGCGAACCATTCATAGTTTGCCCATGTTACTGTTTGAACTAAGTCAGAGTTAGAATATATCTTATATCCCATGAAAACTTCTGGAGCATATTGGTATCCGACATAGAAAATTCCATTGCAACCTTTCTTGTCAGACAACTTGGCAGAAGGTTTTATTTCAATGTCTTGTTCCACGTATAAGAATGAGTTGTCAATAGAAATAATATGAAACCTGTCGCAAGCAATATCTACTGTTGTTGAAGAACCTTCTCCAAACTCACCTACGTTTCCATAAGAAACAGCAGTTGTATATTCGTAAGTTCCAGGAACTATTTCTGACCTTCTAATGGCATTGTCGCATTCGTTATACCATTCGGAAACATTTCCGTTCATGGCATCCAAAACTGTTGGCGTTATATTCTGAGCGGCGTACATTTCATATGGGTAAAAATATAGAATAGTTGGATTTATATGTCATAATAGAACCCACTCGTACCAAGCTTTACTTTCTTCCTGACTGAGTTTTTAACTCTTCTTTTTCCTTCATTGCCACTACTTTCACTAGATGAAGTTACTTCTTCACTACTTTCACTTTGTTCTACTCTTCTCTTCTTCTTTGGTGTCGCTTTTGGTAACTTGCCCTCTGCTTCAAGTTGTTGCATCTTTGCCTCATGTTCACCTAGTATGTTGTAAATTTCCCATGTCCTTTTTGCCTTTGGGCTCTGGTCGCCCATCTCAGGTAACCTATATCCTAGAAAGATTTTGTCATAGTTTGTATTTGAGTCTTCGCTATTGTTTGCATGACTCTTTCCTGAGTTTCCGGTTCAAGCTCTTCAAACAGAGCTTGTCCATATGGAATAAGCTCGTTTCCAAATATATGTTTTTGTAGCCATTCTGGTTTTCTTTCCATGTTACCAATAATATCTTTTGTGAATGGGAAAGCTTTTACCCAACGTTTCAGTCTTGCGTCATTTATTTCTGTAGTTGGTTTTATTTTGTCAAGGAACATGTTTTTCAATACTAACATTTCATTTGGTACTGTCCATTTGAGTTTTCTTAAATATTCATCCCTTCTCAGTTCATTGTCTGCAAAGTAAGTTTTTATGACATTTTGCAAACTTTCGTTTGCAAGGTCATGTACAATAGGTTCTCTTCCTTCTCTCCCTAACTTTCTTTCTAAACTCTTCACCAAATATACCATCTCTATGGTTCTGTGTAGTTCTTTGAGATAAATGTTCTAGAACGTCAGGTGTTATATTTCCATCAGCCATGTTCATTTCATACTGGTCCAAAATATCTGCATGTTTCATATCTTTCAATGGCATTAAAGCCGCGCTGAAAATACCAGCTATATCTGGTTCACCATTCACTTCCATTGCGTCTACAACTTCTTGGAATTGAGGTTGTAAGTTTATGAACCACCTATCCGGATTAGCTTTATGACCCCATCTCATTGTAGTTCCATAGTCTGCAGAAACAAAAGTAGGTTTGTTTCCATATTGGTTAGGTTCTGAATGAACTTTAAACAATGTTTCATTTCTATATGTTTTGTTGAAATTTAACCTTTTATTTTCACCGAGTTCAGCCAAAGATTGAACGTTATATGGTCGTAATTAAAAAGGATTGTTGTATTTGCGTACATTTTCTTTCAGTACTTCCATTCTATGCTGAATATTTTCATCTGATGTTGGAGTCTTTTGTATGTCGGCGAACATTTTTCGATATTCTTCTACTATGTCAGCCGAATTTTTCTTAGACTCTTGGAAAGATTCCATATTCACCTCATACTCTTGTTGAGGGTCAAGATTTTTCGGCTGTTCCAAATCTTCATCTAGTTCTGTGAAGTTAGTTTCCAAAGGAGGGACTTGTTCGTTTCCTTCAGGCTCTTCTAGCTGTTGTTGCTGAACTATTTCTTCCATGTCTGGTTGTATCTGAACTTCTTCCTGTTGAGTTTCTTGTACCTCATCTGCTGGCATTTCATATATTCCGAGACCGTTTTTAACAAGTTCCCTATCTAAGTCATCCGGACTCATAAACCTTTCTTCTTTCGTTCCGTCTCTATTTTTTACGCGTTTCATGAAGAGAGTTGAATTATCATTTAGCTCTGACACCAAATATCTCGGAGTAAATTCATTCATGTCATTTGGATGATATGCTATTAAATCATATCCCTTAGCGAGCTTGTATTTTCCAGGTTTAAGATTATATCCCATTTGGTGCTGAACCATAAAGCTAAATAGGTTCGGGTCAGTATTTCCTTCCTTGAACTTTCTAATAGCTTCTTTATATCTGTCACTAAAGTCAAGAGTATCTGGGTAACCATAATCATCCTTAAGCATTTTTAAGAATTCTTGGTTTCCTTTTTCTCTACTTCTTTTATGTCCTTGCTCTGTTTGTGGTTGTTGTTGTGCAGGGTTTTGAACTGTTGGTTGCTGTGCTGGTTGTGGAGGTGGTTGCTGTGCTGGTTGTGGAGGTGGTTGTTGTGCTGGTTTTGGTTGTTGTGCAGGGTTTTGAACTGTTGGTTGCTGTGCAGGGTTTTGAACTGTTGGTTTTGGTTGTTGTTGTTGTGCTGGATTTTGAACTGTTGGTTGTTGTGTTGGTTTTGGTGCATGCCTGTGTCTGTGTCCATGTGACGATGTAAATGTTTTAGGTAGTCCTGGTGCAGGTGCTTCTCTTGGAGGGTTTGGTGGTATATAAGTTCCACCAGCTGGCACATATGTTCCATCTGCAGCATAATGTCCTACCTGACTTTTCGTTCTTAAGAAAGCATTTACTAGGTCTGTTTTGGTCTGTTGTAACTCTTTTTCTTGACTTTCCACAACAGTTGCTCTAACGGCGTCATAGGCACTTTGAACTGCCTGTCTCGTTGCTGCATCTGTTATTTTCGTCATATTTTGTGCTACTTCTTTTAACTCTTTGTCGAAACCTTCAGACTTCAGTTTCTTTCCAGATGAGAAGTCGTTCACTAGTTTCACCTTACTATGAAGAGCTTCGAAGGCGTTCTTAAAGTCAGCATTCATTAAAGCTTCATTTGAACTGTCTTCATCCGCTTGTATTTTTGTCCTTATTGACCCTATAAGTTGGGCTGCTTTAGCGTTGGCTTGGGCATCTAACCAGTCATTATTAGCTTTTATATATTCTGCGCTTTTCATTGCCTTTTGCATGGCTGCGTCGTTATTTTTACTTTCTTGTGCTAAGTTTTCATACTGTACGGTTTGGTTTTGCAACTGTAAAAGTTTTTCTGCCTTTACATTTGCTTCAACTTCTTTTTTATACTCATCGCTATCCATATATGTCTTCAGGGCTTTTTGTTTTATTCTTCATCTTTCAGTACTTTATATTGAGTAGTATGGTTTTTCAAATTTATAACATCTTGTTCCATTTTTGCTACTTCTGCTGCTTTTTCTGACACTTTTTTCGCATATTCCTCTGTACTTAGTTCTTTCAGTTGTTCTTCTTTCTTCTTTTTCTCTACGTTTAACTCATTGAGTTTCTTTGTCTGTCTGTCATATTCTAGTTTCTTTTCGTTTTCACTTATTTGTTTCTGTATGTCTATGTTTGACTTTTTGACATCTGTTATTTGATTTTTGAGTGAACTCAAATTCATTTGACTTTGAGGGTTATAGGCTGTTCCGTCTGCAGCTCCACCATAGCCTGCCATTTTCGCTAAAAGTGCCGCTCTTAAACCTCCACTCTGTGCACCAATAACTCGGTTTAAAAGCATAGGGTTGCTTGACATTTGTTGCAACATAGTGGGGTCATTCATCATTTGTTGTTGCAACTGTTGTTGTGGTGTCAGTTTTACTATTGGATGTTTCAATGCTCCCTTCCTCTTACGTATATTCTTACGTAGCTTACGTGGCATTTTAAGTGAAGTAAAAAACGGTTTTTGACAGATGTTTATATGACACTTTTTGTTCAGCACAAAAAACTACTCGGTCAAAGTGTTGTCAGTTTTGTAAAATAACTGTCCTATCTCATTCTATAAGGGGGAAAAGGCTTCTCAAAGTATACTTCCTTGGAATGCCCGTAACTTTTCCTGTAGCGACGATAGGCCCTTACTTGTCCGGACAAAGCTATACTATTTTGAGTGCTCTACAAAAAAGTCATCGGCGACAACTCTTAAAAACCGTTGTGTAAAAAGTTTTACCGTTGGACAAAAAGTATATATAGAAAACAAAAAACGTTTATAGTTCATTCAATATTTGAGATAAACCATTTTTCCAACGGTAACTATTAAATAAAATAAAAAAAATAGAGGGGTCTCCGTTGATGAAAACGGTTCATCTCAAACTCTTATTTGAAAAAATAAAGTGGTCGGTTTTTTTCACTTCATTTTAGCTCAATGTCATACCAAGACAGTAGCGATTCCGATTCAACTATCCAGGAAGAGGATTGTCATCCTCCACGGTCACTCCCAGTCCCAGATGACACTCCAAAGACTCGCTTTGACCCCGAGCAATCTAACTTCCAATTGCGCCAACAATTGCAGTCAAAAGCTGATGAATACATGGCTTCTTCTATAGAAGAAAGTATAGAACAGACCTCAGAGTATTCTACAGCTCTTGGTCAACTAGTTTCGGCGACAGTCCAATTCGAACAAATTTGTTCGAATTCAATTCAATATGCAGACGAACTTGTCCGCTATTGTCCCACTCTTGTAAGAGTACTTCAAGAACGACTCTTCAACCAGTTGCTTCCTACCTTACGCAGCCCAATTCAAATTCAATTTGCCCGTGCAGCCATAAACTTCACTCCGTACTCGTACAGCTATGACGAGGATGAACTAGCTGACGAGTACGGAGCCGAAAATGTTGGCTGGGTTTTTCGCACAACTCCTTGCGAATTCCAAGTTGAAATTGTCAACCATTTCCTCGTTCGTACTATTTCGTTACAGAATGAAGACAACGAAAAAGATGGAGTCATTCCAGGTGACCGTGTAAGAGTCATTTTCCAACGCAAAAGTAGACAAGAAATTGTATTCGAAGAATTGGTTTGCATATTCTTTAGCAATGGTCAAGACTACTGGGAAGGAAACTTGGTATTAGTCCCCGGTGAAACCATTTCTGTTTCATCGGATTTGAACCATCCATACAAGATATGGTTCAATTACGTTGCATATAACGCAGAAGACCCGAACTTTGACTCAGAATAAAAACTTCATTTATACTAAACATCTTCGGGGCTAGAGGGCGCAACGCGCCTGGAAGCCCCACTCACCTGACCTCATCATACATCATGGATAGTGTAAATAGATGTAAACAATATCGATATCGTTTTTTTTCTGTTCACAAAATATATATTATTTGTTGTTTCTTATAAATTGTATTTTGAAATATATTTTGATATTAATTTTTATAAAATGTTATTTTTGAATGTTTCACAAATTTGACTTTCCAATACACGGAGAAGTACATGAAGATTTTCAAGAAATTTTCAATTTTATCACATTCAAAAATCCATTTTTCAATTAAAAATTGATAAATGAATTTTAGAAGGCAATGGAACGACAATTTCCTTGTACAATTCAAAATTGAATTTAAAAAAATAGCAAGAAAACTGCAGTTTTTTTTTCAATTATTCAATATTTGAGACATCTCATCGAAAACAAATTAAGAACTACCGAACATTGATTACAATTTAACCAATCCAAATTAAAATATTATTTTCAAAACATTCGAATTTACTTTTGTATATAATGAATACTATCTGACGATAAGACAAAAAGTAATTTTTGCATATCCTAAATGCTATATTACTTTAGCTCTTTTAATGAATTGGATGATAAATTTTGGGCCTCAATTTTTCTGAGAATTTTTCTTAAAGATTGAATTTTTATATGTATTTTTTAAAGAGCAAAAATGATAAATATTGGGTTCTTTATACTAGTTTTTGTCATTCAAGGATACAAATATTCCGATATTAATCAAGAACAACTCACTATTTCTGACCAGACAATCGACCAAACCCTATTTAATAATGTAATTTGCACAAGACTCACACTTCAAAACACAAAAGTAATTAAAAATGTCACAGGAATCAAGAACCTCAAAATTATTGATCTTCCTTCTACATTAACATTCATAAATCCATTTGCTTTTCCACAAATGACCGATTTAACATTTACCCTTGAGCAAAATAGTGATGACATTTATATCAAAGATGATGGATTATATTACAGGAGAGAGGTCCTCGAAAGTTATGATGGGTATGAACTTTTTTTATTACGTTATTTTGGGAAAAGGGAAAGTTTTAGTGTAGTACTTGGAAGCATTGTAGTTCCAAATGCGTTTGATATACATGATAATTACGTCAATGATCTTTCTTTGGCGCCTTTGCCAGGCATTCCTTTTTATTTTTATTCACAACCCATTACTTTCAAAAGAATAACTCTAGATCTGACAAACAGGACAAATGTATAATAAGATCCTTTTCATTCTTACATAATGACATTCTTACTTCAATAATGTTTCCTAAAACTGCCGAAATTAATATATTATCTTACGCTTTCATCAATCTTTCAAATCTCACTTCATTTTGTCTTCCACACGATGTTTGGGTGAATGAGGATACATTCATTGAATGTAACAATATTAAACAATTGAGTTACAATAATAACGATTCAGATTATAAATCTAAATTGGAGAGTTCTGGAATTGATTCTAGTATCCTTCAATACGGCGAGACTTGCAAATATAATCACAACACAAATACTGATAAATCTAACCGATTGAATTCAGAAGAACCTTTACCGTACTATGCTGATCCATTTAATGTAATGATTATTTCAATATTTTATAATTAATTTATTTTAATTGTAATAAATATAAACTATCTGATAGTAATTTAATTATGCCCCATTTTTTATTTGTTATCTATACATTTCAAAAATAATTTCTTTAATATCTTGTATTATCCTATTTAATATGCATGGTAATAAATTTTATATAATATTATGATAGAAACTTTTTTCCAATTGAACCATGAGATTCCATGGAATTCGAAATAAATAACGTTTAATTATATGTATAATCAAAACTTCAACTATCAAGTTCTTGGACTATATATGAAATATTGATACTCTTCAAACAAGAAGCAATATTTATTGTATTTTAATTTATTTGCTTTTGGGGCAAAAATTCTGTAACTAATGGGCCAAATATATTAAGTTATGGATCATATTCTCTTAAAATTCAAGAAATTGCATTTGTTAAATCAAATATCGTAATTCCCTCCCAATACACTTATTTAGAGCCAGCTTCAATTCTATTTAATATTTATCGACTAATAGATTACAAATTTCCATGATATTTTTACCGCGCTCTTACGAAATTTAAGAATAATTTTCCTTTTCATACGAAATGAACTGCTTATTTCTAAAGTAATATCTTTACAAGGTGTACTTAAAAGTAAGAATAAAAGTTAATTCAATTAAAAAAATCGTTTTAAATTTTTAAGCGAAATCGTATGGATGATGATGGTGGCGATGATAATGACGCTCTGGAATTCTCATACGGTTACGCATATGATGGTGACCTTCATCAGAGTTAAGGCCAAATCCTAATTGCTTTTCAATGTCTGAAATAATCTGCTTTTGGTTTTGTTCAAACTGGTCCATTAACTTTAATGATTGAGCCGCAAGCTCTGGATTTGGAGCTGGTCTAACGTCGCCGTTTGGATTATCAATTTGAGTCTTGAAAGCAGCGCTCATTATTTTGAGAAATGGAGGTGGAAGCTTGATAAGACCTAAAACAGCAGGAGCAAGGGCAACTGAAATGGCGTCAACAACATTTTCCATTGACATTGACTTTTCAGGAAGGAATTGAAGTTCCTGGCACATGGAGCACTGGAGCATGCTAGCTTTAAATTTGGCTACGATGATCCAGTCTCTTGGGAGCTTGAAATCAACTGTGATTTTCAATGAAGAGCATGCAACTTTATGAACTTGATTAGGTTTCAAATATCCTTCGAATGTGTAAATGTACAAGTAAAGTTTTCCAGATTGATCGTTATATGCAACTGTATCTACCATGCGATGATCTTCAATCTCGTAAGAACCAAATTCGACAGCATCTCTTAATGATTCAATAATTTCACCTTTATGAGAAATAACTTCTGGGGTTTGATCTTGCATCAGCAAATTGATCTTATGTTCAATAAAATCTGGAACTCGATTAGCGTTTATACGGAACACTTCATAATCTGAGCCTGTGCCAAATTGTTGGAATCCTTGAGATTTTCCACCGCCAACGATTATGGATCCTTTGTTTTTTTTTGAATGCAGACATAATAGCTGCTGCACCACCAAGACATTTAAGGAGACCGCCACATAATGCTAAAAGAGCCATTGAATACTAATAGGACTTCTAAAATCTAAAATTTGCCGACAAAATTGTCATTTGACGTTTTTCTGAGGCAAAATGATAAATTAATTCAAATAAAAGTATACCGACCTGAATTTGATCACTTTAGGCCCCTGATGCAATAAAACACGATTACTTATGATTCAAATCCCAATTGGTAATGAATGCTTCACGCCTGTAAAGTTATTATAAAGGCTTCACTAATTTGACAAAAAATATTCAAAATTTTTAAAAAGATGAAAAATATGCTCTACGATATATGTTAATCCTAGTCTATCATTTTCGGAAAAAGCACGTTATAACTCATGTTAGTGGATGGGTCATTAAAAATTAAAAATAATGAAAAATATAGCATTGATATACACCATAGAATATATATCTCAAGGGACTTTAATTTTTGCCATGTTAGTGAAGCCTAATAGATCGATTTAAGATGCCTTTGGATTAAGGAGATAACATATCCTAAGTGCAGGGGCTAAGAACGTCAGAATCGATATCAGTAGATCAACTAAAAAGCTTTTGAATGACGATGTTTATTTTATCGTGAAAATTTATATGGTAATTTGGAAATTATTGTCCTGTTTTATCAATTCTCATCTAATGTATTTTCATACCATCCCTATACAAATATATAACGTTTTGCATTATTATTGATTTTCATCAAGTTTATTCACAGACTAATCCTTAATGGAATAATTTGTTTCACATGAGTATAATATCTAAGAAATATATAGAAAAACAAAAAATCAATTAACTGAAAATTTATGATTTTAAATGCGATCATATGGAAGATGGTGGCGGTAGCGATGGGTCTCAGGGATTCCAAAACCGTAATGGCGGTAATGGTGCTGGCGATGGTGAAGTCTTTCAGCAGAATTTGTAGCTGGTTTTTCTTTGATGGTTTCTCCAATCTTTCCGAGACCAGCATCAATCTTATCTAAGCCATCCTGAGCTGCCTGGACTGATTGCTGTTGGTTAGCAAGCATTTGCTGGAAGCCGCCAAGTGCCTGTTGAGCCAACTCTGGATTTGGACATGGGACAATCTTGTTATCTGGGTTCTGAACTTGAGATTGAATAATAGCTCCCATGCAATTCAAGAAAGACTGTGGAACTTTGACAAGACCTAAAGCTGCTGGAGCCATTGCAATAGAGATGGCATTGATAACTTCGGTCATGCCAATTGACTTGTCTGGAAGGTACTGGATTTCCTGGTTCATTGTGCACTTCATGAAGCTAGATTTCATCTTTGAAACAATGATCCAGTCCTTTGCAAGTTCCATGTCAACTTCGACCCTAATATCATCATGCTTAACGATGTAACCAAATTTAGACTCTGGAATACCTTCAAATGCGTAAATGTAGAAGTAAAGTTTACCAACTCGCTTATTGAATGCTACAGTATTAATGGAACGATGATCTTCAATATCATATGTCTGAAATTCTAAAGCGTCCTGTAATGATTCAATAATTTCATTCATTTTGTCTTGAATTTCTGGTGATTGTTTTGCCAACAGCCTCTTAATCTGTTTTTTAACATATGCTTCACTTCTTTCAGCACGCATTGAGCGTCCACCAGTACTAAATGTCGAATAAAATTTGAAGAAGCCAGTTCCTTGACCACTTCCGATAATTTGGTTGGAATGAGTCTTTTTGAATGCAGACATGATTCCAACTGCACCACTAAGGCAGTTGATAACACCTGAAGCAATACCTAAAAAGGCAGCCATTAATTATAATGAAAAATTGACACCCAGCTGTCATTTGCCACCCTTTTACGGCAAATGACAATTTTGCCAAAAAGGAGTTTTATTAAATAAAGATGGGCATAAACACAATAAAGATCTTCTCAATGATTTTATCATATACTAGAATCAAAATCTCGAGCACAAAAGTGACATTGAATACTAGTAAGTATAGAATTTCCATGTAAACTATTCATTTCTATCGTTTTTTGTAGTCCACATTTCCTCACTCTCGATTTTACTCATAAAAATATTAAAAAATCACTATACAATATATAAAATATATATTTATATGGTTAAAACAATGTTATTTTTGCGAGATTTCATCTGAAATTAAATTGAAGGATTTTTTGAATTTTGAACTAAAATTTGTGTTCGGCAATTATTGAATAATCAATTGGAATATGAAAGAAATACTTTAAAATTGAATAGAATGTGCCGATAGAATTTTTCTCACAATTTTAAAAAGTTGCTCTAATTCTATTTTTGATTGAGTTTTTGTAATTGTTATATATCAAGTGATAAGCTAAAAATAAAATTTTTGTTGCATTACTATTATTGCAACAATTTGTAAATTACGTGTAACCCATGTATTACAATAATAAACACTGAGATTACATATTGTAAGTATTCCTTTTGAACTAGATTTTTCTTTGAATTTAAATCCGGATAGTCTATTTCATGTTGGTTCGTGAGAAGATATATAATTTGCAATGTGAATAAGATATACATGATTCTGTGTAAATAAGTAATTATGCTTTGGGAAACTGCTCGGCATTGAATGAGATCTAATGTTATTAGTTTTTGAGATATGTTGAAATATGTAATATTTAGCTTCAATATCATTTATTATGGTGTGTCTTTGCTGTTTTTTTGATATTAGATATCAATGACTCTTCTGGAAACGAAAAAATCATATAAATCATTAAATTCTAAACGTAAGCGAAACTCATTCAATTTATGATGAGAATCAAATTTTGTTTGGAATTGAGATATTGGATATATTATAAAAGAATACATAATATTTTAAGTAAAAATTTGAAAAATATGAGCCTATTGGCGTAATCTTCTGATCTTCCTGAAAGAAGCGCCCAGACCAGTCAGAAGCGCTCCTTCCAGGGCCAGAAAGACTAGAAGGGGGCCCTGACCTTGAGAAAGGACCCCCTTCAAGGTCTTTCTGGGACAATTCGGTTCGCATTGCGAGTGTCTGCTGCTTCTTTTGACTAAAGCAGCAGACACTCGCAATTATATGTCGCGGCAAGTGCATCTGTGGTGTCGGAATGCACTTGCCGCGAACTTCGCGCAATCTTCTGATCTTCCTGGAAGAAGCGCCCAGACCAGTCAGAAGCGCTCCTTCCAGGGCCAGAAAGACTAGAAGGGGGCCCTGACCTTGAGAAAGGACCCCTTCAAGGTCTTTCTCAAAGGAAAATTCAGAAAACTTCACAATTTTTGAATGTCACTTTTTCTGTATATAGAAATGGTATCATTTGTGTCTCTATTCATGTTCCTAGACTCTTTATCTCTTTAATCATTTTTCAAAACTTGATAATCAAGTTTAAAAATTCATTATTACTAATATAATACTCCCTATTTTTATTCAAAGATAATTTATTACTCAACAAATACTATCCAATCATGTTGAAAATTCTTTTTCTCTCTATTCATGTTGGAATACTCTTTATTATTGAACAAATACCTCCCAATCATGTTGAAGGACACTTTGATCAAAGACTATATATTTTTTTAAACTTATTCAAATACACTGTAGTACTTAATAAATAACTTATAAATGTTTTATCAAAGTTTTTTTATTAGTGTACAGAGATTTTAGAAAGAGTATCAAAGACACTTTTATTCTCTAATCATTATCAAAGAGACTTTTATTCTCTAATCATTATCAAAGAGACTTTTATTCTCTAATCATTATCAAAGAGACTTTTATTCTCTAATCATTATCAAAGAGACTTTTATTCTCTAATCATTATCAAAGAGACTTTTATTCTCTAATCATTATCAAAGAGACTTTTATTCTCTAATCATTATCAAAGAGACTTTTATTCTCTCATTATTATCAAAGACTTTTTTATTCTCTAATCATTATCAAAGAGACTTTTATTCTCTAATCATTATCAAAGAGACTTTTATTCTCTCATTATTATCAAAGACTTTTTTATTCTCTAATCATTATCAAAATACTATAAGGAATTAAAATACATAATGTTGAAATTTGAATTACGGAAAAAGTGAGAGTGAAAGTGAAGTGAAAAAGTAAGATATTTTTTTTGAAATAATCGTAGTTGTACAATTTTGAAACTATATGTAAAGCTATAAATTGAATAAATTCAAAAACAAAAATTGTTTATTCTTATTAATAAATTTATATTAATCAATATTTGAACAACCCGTAATTAAAATTGAATTCCTCTTAAAATTTAATCCATACGTTAATTTTTAATTTGCTCGGCGAATGCCGAGCTTCCCTACTTCTCTTGTCATTCCTTCAAAAACTCTAATCTCATCGCACTTACAAACATCATGATTTGATGTATTGTCGAGAAATCTTAGACTTGTTTGTCATTTGATTATAGCATTTGAAAGTCATCTCGAAAATCGATTAACAAGACAATTTCCCAAACATCTACATACAAGTAGATGATGGTAAACCCATTAGAGTTGTTTTGCTATGATTCTTCCAATCTTATGATGAGAAAAATCATATCAAAACAGCTCTAATCGAACATTCTACACAGCTTAGCATCCAGCTAGTTCCAAGTAATGCGATTACAACATCAACGGCCAAAGCCTTTCAGAGTCCTTTAATCATTTCTTCTCATCTCAATGTGAAGTGGCCCCAAACGAACTACAAGCTGACGTTACAACGCATTACAACCCGGTTAATACGAGCATATACATTAGAGCTGCTTTGTTGATGATCTCCTCATCAATTGATGAGAGATCTCATTATAAGCAGCTCCAATCGAACTAAAACCTACATACAAATAAGTGAAACAACTCATTAGAGTTGTGTTGCTTTGATTTTCTCTCATCAGAAGATGAGATACAGAACAAAAACAACTCTAATCAAACTTTCTACACAACTCAGCACAGTATCAATGCAAAGTAATGCGTCTGTATCGTTAACAAGCAAAGTTGTTTCGGGTCCTTCCATTTTGGAAGAATTCGGAACAACTTTGCGAATTGATAGTGTAAACCCATATACATGAAAGCGTGCATGCATAAAGACAGGTATTGTCAGCAATGACTACCTGCCCAGCTATGAGTGATCAGAGAATTACCATCTCAGGCTTTTTGAGAACGTTTCAGCCAGGACCCTCGTATGTTGACTGTGAGAAAGGCATCCTTTATCTGAAATAGATGCTTTTCCAACAATCAAATTCGAAGATCTTCGACGTTGTTGTAAAAAGAGAAGGAGAAGGAAAGAAGAGGAAGGAGAGGAAGAAGGAAAGGAAAAGAAGAAGAAAAAAAGAAGGACATATTAAATATAATGCGCACTTAATGGTGCCGAGGCGGCGGAGCGGCGGAGGCGCGATTTTTTTGACCATATATTACCGCACAGCAATGTTTTTCTCGATTTTGTACAGCCCTAAAACTGTTGTTTTGAATGTAATTGATGTCTTCACGAAATAAATTAGAAACTGGAACAAACAAGTTATTGTAAAAAATAAGAAACTTTGATGGCATTTTGTTTTGAAGTTTCAGTGAGAGATTCCCAAATATCTGTAAAACAAATAATATTTCCAAATACTGTTCGCACCATCTTCTTCCCTATGAAAACATGTTTTGAATAATACATTTTGAATGCCAACAATGAATATTAATATTCATTGTTTCAGTAAAATACAGCCTTTATCCTATCGTTTTGACGGTTTTTATCAGAATTTCAAATTTTCAGGAACTTGGCAAATTATTTGACTCATGAATTTTAAAATCATGAACATTCTGAAATAAATTATCATAAAATGATCAAAGATTAGATATTAGGGTTAGATTTAATAAATGTCAACTGTAGTGAAAATATCTTCAAGAACCGAGAAACAAATATCGCGAATGTCACGTGATGTGATTCTATGAAATATCTGTTCAATTGTGAAGGATTATCACTTAATTCAATAACATTGAAAGAGGAGATTATTACTATTTCTTATTTGCTACTTCTTATATGCTCAATTGAATGAACTCAATGGTTCAATCCCTCCATTCGATGATTATTATTAAACATGTATCTAACCTTTTGATTTGAATAGACTAATTAATGAAATCAATTTAAGATTTTTAAAAATCGAATCCGTTTTATCTTGATTTCTTAAAAATATATTGTTTAATTTTCTGATTTGAGGAGACTAATCAATGCAATCAATTTTAGATTGTTAAAAATCGAATCATTTTTATCTAGATTTCGTAAAATTATTTTTCCTTCGCATGGACTTATTATATAGAAATATATTTCATTAATAAATGAATTTGTTGTCATTTCATCTGTAATAACTAATCCATTAGTTGTAAAATTATCAGCATGGCATAGAATTATATAAATCTGTCCTTCCAAGCGGGAATCAAATAAAGGTGCATCTAAATTTTTTAGATTATTTTGGAAATAAGAATCTAATATATCAATTCTATTATCCCAAGCATATACTAAACCAAATGATGTACTTTTTTGGGAGTTGTTTATATAATTACATTTTTCAATAATTCCTGGACATGAAGAAAATACTGTTATTGTAAATTGGCTTGCTTCTAACTTCTCAAAATTACAAAAAGAAACATTTGTTGTTGATCCAACTTCTTCGGAATAAAAACATGTTGCTATACTTGAAACGCAGTTAGTAATGTTTGTTTTTGAGAAATATGAATTACCACGTCTTTGGACAATCATTGCCATATTTGAAGAATTTCCTCCATAACAAATTGATCCTTGGAGGATTGTACTGTTGACATTGCCTTCCAAAAACATAAATTGGCCTTTTGATGAAGTTTTACTTTCACATGAACAAAATTTATCAATAATAATGACATTTTCATAATAACTTTTGATATATACTGTTTTTGGACCTTTGTGAAAGACATTTTCGCAAAGTAAAATTGAATAATTTTTTGCATCTTCAAAAAATACTGCTCTGTTTTGAATTTCAATGAATCTGCATATGTATATGAAGCATTTATTCTCTGTTGCTGTGACATTTTGATTATAACCTTGAATAATTTTTGAAGGAGGCTAAATATCTGCATAATAAAACTTCCAAATACTATTTGCATTATCTTCTTCATTATGAAAACGTATTTTGAATAATAAATTTTGTATTCCGGCAATGAATATCTATATTCATTACCGAATAAAAATATAACCTTGGCGGTTTTGACTTCAAATTCATTTCTACTAATCTGAAGCTTAACAAATAACTAGACTCATAAATTTTGAAAATTTAGTTAATTTTAAATGATCAAAGATAAGAGATGAGAGTTATATCAAATAAAATGGTTTATTACAAACAAAAAAGAAAAATAAATTTTATTGATTAAGTGACATGAATTCAAGTTTCTGTGATAAATCTTTGATATCGGATGAAATATCATGAAGATGTGTGTCACGAAAAACATTTTCGTTGTTTAAGTTTTCTGGATGTTGTGGATTATCTTGAACAATATCGTTAGATGATGTGTTAAAAACAAGAGGACTGAAGTGTTTCAGTGAGATGATGAAGTCACGAATGTTTGATCGGAAATCGCGTTGGTTCATGCAGTCACGAAGTGAGAAAAGGAATCGTTCAATGCAATCAACGTTTTGGCCATCGAATCGTTCACAAATAATGGTTGAAAATTGTGAAATGTTCTCTGAAATGAATCGGTTTCGAATCAATCGACGGAAAATAGATGACAAATGACCGATGATGTCAGACATAGATTCAAGAACCATGTAATGAACAATGTCAACTAAGTATTTGACACCATATTCACTCATGAATCGACGTGATGCGTTCTCTTGCATCTTGTCAACTGTGGTGAAAATGTCTTCAAGAACTGAGAAACAAAGATCACGAATGTCACGTGATGTAACATACAAAATCAGATTGTCGAATGTATCAAAGAAAAATCGGATTTGTTCGGATTCCATGCATAATAAACTTGATAATGATGTTCGAACAAAACACTTGATCAAAAAGATAAATGATGTGCACAATAAACTGTTGTTTTGGATGTAATTGATGTCTTCACGAAATAAATTAGAAACTGGAACAAACAAGTTATTGTAAAAAATAAGAAACTTTGATGGCATTTTGTTTTGAAGTTTCAGTGAGAGATTCCCAAATATCTGTAAAACATGATGATCAAAAAATGAAAATTTTTCTGTGAAATAAAGACTTAAAAATGTAGAACAACAGATTTCGAAGAATGATTCAAGATTTTCATGATGTGATGAAATCTGGGATGAAATAACACAATATAAATCTAAGATTTCAAAACAAATATTTTGACTTTCTTCATTTGTTTCGTAGTTATCAAAGTTTTTGTTGAAAAGATCAATCAAATGTGGTGAGAAATCAATGAATAATCGAACAAAATAGTCTGTGTTGTTGAATGATATGATTTTAAGACATCTCAAAAAGAAAATAAATGTTTCTGTGTTTAAGACACTAAAAATAGATTCGAATATTTGGAATGAAAGACCTTCAACAATAGATCGCATAATATCAGATTCGCAGCGCTTACAACAATAACAAAGACCATCAACTAACAACAAAAATGATTGTGATGAAACTTGACCAAAAATAGAAAATAATTCGTCACAACATGATTCAACAATACTATTGTTGCATCCACTTGGTGTACTGACTAATAACTGTGAACAAACATGGAGAACCTTGTTAAAGTTTGATGAAAGAATGATTTCCGTTGTTGATTCAACAGATGGAAGAATTTCGATGATGTTGTGACAAATGAAACTCAAAATAGAAATATTATCTTCAATTGAAAAGAAATTACTTAGTCCTGATGCTGAAAATGAGATGCCACTGATGATAGATATCTTAATATCATTTTCTTCTGTAGATTCGAGTAAATTAATGATGGAATTGATCATATTTGATAAAAATGAAAAATCTTCGTTGTCTGTTTGTTCAAATCCATTACCAATGCAGCCAATACACCAACAAAGAACATTGATGTCATCAACGGTGATGTTTTCCTTATGAATAAATTCATTGATGATTTCACATGTTTCTTGTGGGTAAAGCTGTGTTGCATGTAGAAGGTAGTCATGCATGGAGTCATATATAATGTTCTGTTCTATGGAATATCGGTTCAATTGTGAAGGATCGTCATCTAACTCAAAAACATCGAAAGGATTCACGATTTTCGGAACAATTGTCTTGGTTACATCATTTATATACGGTAGGAAAATTTCCGTAGTGTTCTCAAGTTGGCACCTTTTTTCACGATAGGCCGTGGTCGCAATGAAAGCCCAGAAATCAATGCAGATTTGGAGAGGCTCGTCATTGAAATTGCTTAGCATGGACACAAGGAGTGTTGACGCATAGGAAATATAACCTTCTTTGTCAAGAGGTAAAATTAATTTATAATATTTCTGGATAAGACCAGTAACTGTATGGCAGAATGTAATCTTATCTGTTTCTGAGGATAGAAGATCAAGGATATCAGTGGATTGAGTGTATTTTTGTACTGTTTCCATAATTTTTGAGAAAATTTCTGGAACTTGCTGGCCAAATTCCGGTGGGAAGTTATTACTTTGGCATATCTCCCAGAAAATCGATGAAACTTCCACAAAAATATGGAAATTTAGATCATATAAAATATGAAGGTTTCCAAAGATGCCAATTTGAAAAATATTGTCCATATCTATTAGCTGTACAAATGTTTTGATAGCTCTGACTGCTTTTATGATGATTTCTTCCGATGGATTGTTTAAAAAGATATTTTGAATGAATTTTGTAATAATTGGAAATTCTTTTGAGAATTTCTCCTTCAATTGTGATGCTCTAATGATTGTTAATGATTCTTCTGCTCCAATCGAAATTTCACGAGCGAGAATAGATATGATTTCGATGCAATTCATCTGTAATATCTCGTTCTGAGATGACTCGTTGATTCTATCTGAAATAAAGTTTGGAAAATTTTGAGGATATTCATATTTAAGAATTGAAACGAGAATTTGATCTGCTAATGTGATGAATGCATTGTTTTGCAAGTAATTCTCATCATGAATGAACTTTAAGACGAATTCGTGAATTTGTGATTTCTCATTATCTTCAATCAAGTTCCAATGGGATTCTACATAGTTTCTAAGGATTTTTAATACTAAATATCTTGTTTGTATACCATATTCTTTGCTAAAAACTGGTATACAACATTTATATGCGTCTGGACGTTTCTGGAATTGAGTTAATACTTTAAAATATTGTTTATTTGATGGATCTCTCTCTACTTCTCGAACTAATAAATCTAAAAGATCTGTATCTATTTCAGAATCTGGAATAGAGAGAGATGAAATATCATTCATTAAGGGTTAATCGTCCGACCAGACAAAATCTATCGTCGTCCTAAAATCTCTACATAATTGATGTATTCTATTATATTGCGATAGGCTAAGAGTTAATATTCAATCTGCATTTTGATTTTAATGTAATTTAATTTCACCTTACATCTCAATGATATGTGTAACATTTTATCAGAATTTTAAACCTTACGGTATAATACAACTGCAATTACTTTTCTGTTCAACTGTTTTAAGTTCTCTAAGCCATAGAAAGAATGTCTAAGCTCACGAAAGCCTTTGATTACATAAAATTAATAATTTTGATTTTCATCTATTGAACAGCTGTCAGTCAGATAGCATTTGAGACCAATTAATTAAAACACAGAATATTGTTGATATCTACTTAAAACTTTGAATCCAAATTGCGTTACAGATCGTAGAAATGAATAATTTTATGAGTTCATTATAAGTATGCATATGTGAGAATTGTTTATCGATGATTACACAAAATTATTCAAAATTGAATTTCACGTTTGGTCATTCTCAATTATATTGCAATTTTTATTGAGAATATTGATAATAGCCAAATATAGAATTGAACTCTAATTGAAAATCGAACCAATCTGGAATTGAATGAAGGAGGTTTACTTGTAAAATGGAAATGCTATATTGCATTGTCTTCAATACAATTTCTTAAATTTTCTTTATTTGAATGTTTGTAAATAATTCTCTCAAATTATAATATCAGTAAAAATAATTAGTTACGAAATATTTAATAAATGGGGACTTATGAATTTTGCTCAATTCAAAAGAATCTTTTATTTCAATAAACTCATATAAAATTTTGTTAGATAGAAATAATCCTCTTACTTGCAAATGTTTACACTCTTTTTCCATTTTGTTGCAAGTAATTGGACCGAATACTTTCAAGGCAATCCAGACACAATCCTTACAAGTTATATATTGCCTGATTTTACGTTTGAAGGCAACGTATATTTTTCAAAAGCATTAGTTTTAAACTTCGATGCACAAGTAATGGCAGCAACTGCATCAGATAAATACAACCTGCTTATTGAAAGCTCATATTTCCTTAATATCAATGCTGATAGCGCTGGAGCTACAATTTATTGGGAAACAGCTGGTAACGTACAAATAGACCAGACATGCGTATCTAAAACATTTGCTACTATCCAATATCCTGGTACATTCCTTTTTTACACTGGAGAAGGAACTGTCAACATTTCATTTGTTACATCTATTGAATCTGGAAAACTTGATGACTACGCTTATAATACGATATATTTTAATGCAACAAAAGGTAATGTTGAATATTTTAACCATACAAATTCTTTTTCATCTTCACTTCAAATTACTTCAGCACAGAAATCAAATATAACATATTCAATAGTAGCTCATATGAACTTAACGAACGATGAAGTACATTTTCAATTAGTTTCATGTGATCAAGTCGATGTTGATTATTGTAATTTTATTAATAATTCTTTCGAGTTAAGCCCAAGCACTATCCTTATTTTCCAGAATCCTGCAAATTCTAGGCTATATAACTGTTGTTTCGTCCAAAATAAAGTGTATTACATCGAAAAGAGAAGTTTGAGTGACAGTCCACTGCCAATTTCGGGTATTTATGTTGATAATGGACTATTTGATGAGACAGTATCTGGAATTGTCACAACATCTTCAACACATGTTTTGATTTTGTTGAATACTTATGATTGTAGAGCGAATTTCACTCCCACAGCAGTCAAAACTAAGAATATTGCAGTCATTGCATCAGTCAGTACCGCAGCAGCTGTTGCAGGTGGTATTGGAATTGGTACTCTCGTTTTTTGGATTGTCAAGAAAGTAGGAACACATTCTGTAGGATACGCGGTCAAGAAAGCCATGGAAGACGATGATTATGATGACTATACATACGAATATTCACAGGAAGAATCTGATAACAATAAAGAAGACGAGAAAGAAGAACAAGAGAAAGAGAAAGAGCAAGATAAGAAAGATGAAGAAAAAGCAGATAATTCTGATGGTTTGGGTAAAGAATTATCAGTTTCAGATGATGAAAAATAGAATTATTTTTTAATTTGTTAGAATTGTTAGTAAATATAGATTTATTTGTTTTATTTAAGTGATTTGCTAAACGTACGTTTGTATAAGATATTGATAAAATCGCAAATAAAAAAAATATCATTGATTGAATTAATAATTTATGTACAATTTAACAAAAATATTTTCTAATTAATTATGTTACTAAACTTTATCCATACTTTATTAAAATATCTATCACAAAAACTATTTCTGATAAAAGAAAACTTCATATTTCTCACTTTTATATCCATTGCGTATTGGATACGATGTGCCTTTGAATAAAAATTCTAATTTGAAATTTGAACATGAATAAAAATCATCAAAATATAGTACATGAAATAATATGTCAAGAAAATAGTATCTTTACTTAAATTTAATATCTAAAAAATCTCTTTTTTACGATTGGCAAATTTATTTCTTTATCAGAATTCGATTATACTAGATATTCTTCTGTTCCATCAAGTGAAAAAACTTATTAAACATATGAAATCTCTTAACCACCAAATCATAATGAACGGCTTTCAATTTTTAAACTATTTGATCATTTATTGTGCATATGCTTTATTTACGTATTTTAATTGAATTTGATCAGATTTTTTTTGTCAAAAAATGAGAGCGATTTTCACCATAACATTTTGTCCATTTCATAATTTACTATTGATTGTAAGAATTTTTGAGTTAAAAAAATTGAATAGTCTAACAAAAGTTTAAATTAAGATAGTTATGTCTTATGAAACAAAAATAGCCTCGAAAATCATGCTCTGATGTTCATTTACTTGTTTCCCGGAATGTAATAGTTCCGTTGTTGTTGTTGTTCTAATATTCGTAAATGGGATTTTAATGATATTTCCATACGCATTTTATGGAGTTAAAATTCTAATACGCAATAAATTATCGAATTTTATGGCAATAGGTAACAGTGTTACATTTTGTTTTATTACAATTTATACTGTTTTTGTAATTTTAATTTTACATTTATCAAACATAAATATGTTTAACAAAGGAAATGATTTGTTGCTATATCATTCGGCTCGATTCTTTCAAGTCTTCGCATCTACACTTGTATTTATAGATGTTACAAAAGTTTTAAAAGCATTGAATGTTAGAGGATCGAATGCACTTCTAATATTAGGGAGATTCGATGAAATTATAGTTAGAATTTTATTATCTCTACATTATATTGCATTTTATTTACCAAATGTCGAAACAAAAGAAAAAATTGTTCGCAAAATTCATGACTTACAACTCTTAACACTCTTGACAATTTATATTATTTCTCTTTTTTTGGCAGTATTTTGTATATGTTTTATCTTCACTAGGGTTCAAGATTTAATAGAACCAAAAAGACTTCGAATGATTAAGGTTGGAATTTTCTTCGTTCCATTAATAGCATGTGCTCATTGCAATACGTTTTACTGGATACACTCTATGGCTTTTAAAAGCCATTTGCTAAACAATTTAGATAAAGTCAAATTCTTTGATGAAAAAACAAAAGTCTTCAAAAAATATGAATTATTGAACCTTGCTTATATGAGTTTATGGAACCCATTCTGTTGCTATGTTTTCTTCTTGATTTTATATTATCTAAATCCAGAAGAGTATGAAGAAAACACGCATGATCCAAATAATGAGTTAATAACTTTTCAAACTCTGGAAATTTGACTGAAATAACATGGAGTTAATCTATTCATCTCTTGTAACAAATCTAAATTTATCGTGTACTATCAACACTTCATGTGCAAAAGAATCTAATACGCATATAAATTCTCGTCATCTTAAGCAAATGTTTAGTTTATTCTATTTAATAAAAAATCAAATATGCATAACATTGTCATTGCTTAGGAGAATCTATTTTAGTGAGAAGTATTGATAGTGATTCTATGGTAGATCATTCCTATCAATAATGTTTGTTAATCATTGTCACCTGCTTGAAAATAAGAGTGTATGAATTAACTCTAATCTCCATGTTCCAATATCTTTCTTATTTTATTACTATTAAGTGTATGTTCTCCCAGATCTTTGATACTTATGTTTTCTTTCATTGCATTTATTGTTTTATTATAATATTTTTAATTTCAATGATTGGTAAATATTTTGTGATCTCCGAAGCACGTGTTTTCTAATTCAGCGTTTCCTATGTTTAACTTCTGGCACCATTTTCTTTATGAAAGTACACTTTATAAGTTATTTAGCTCCCGTTTGCAGAAAGATTTTTTTTGGTAAAAAGTTTTACGATTATTTTCAATTCAAATGGAGTAAAATTTAAATTCTTTTACATCAATAACTATCGTGCACCACTCATATTTCGCCGTATGCGATCTATTAATGGCGATGGTTTAGTATCCAAAGGACTTGTTTCTATCACTCAGTCACAATGGGAAGGTAATGATTATGGCATTGAAGGTCTATTGAAACTTTGCGAAAAGAATGATAGTAATAAATGGGCTTTACTAACAAATCCTGGTGGATATTTGCTAATTGATTTGAAAAAGCAATATTCAATCGCCGGGATTTTCTTCATGGGCTCATCGTCTAACGGATATCCATGGTCAGAACATCCACCATCATATTCATTACAGTTTTCAAACGATAAAAGTAACTTTCAAACTCTTTTTGAAGAAAGAACATCTACGAGGATAAATTACCAAAATTTATCTACCGAAATTTTATTTGATACAACATATATGTATCGGTATTTCAGAATTTTGATGCTTGATTATGCAGAAGGTTCTAATCATCACGGAATGTACATATCTTGGCTTGATTTCTATTCGAATCTTGGGCAAAGGATATCATGTCATTGTTTTGGATTTCAAAATAACTATCTTGCATATATTTTTATTATGGTATTTGATAATTCTTAAATAACTTTTTTTATCAATAAAAGCATACATTTTAAATCTCACCGAACTATTTAACTACCAGTCCTATTCATTAATGCATCAGGAATACTCAGTTTGAGTGAAATTAATCAAATAATTGAATCGAAATGGACATTTAAATACCACTATCAGGTGTTGATGTTAATTGACTACCGTATGATGTGATATCCTCATGAATTGCTCTAACATCTTCAACATATGTTTTGATTTTATTGAATAAATACGACTGTAAAACGAAATTCACTCACAGAGCAGAAATAACTAAGAATATTTATAGTCATTGCATCATTAAGTTCTACTACAGTCGTTGTATGTTGCTTTGGAATTAGTTCTCATATCTTTTGGTTTATTAATAAGCACTAAACATGTATTTTTCGCTCGATGGATAATAGAAATGACGATTATTTTTCATTTAAATTCTTTACATCCACAACTCTCGAGAGTCACTTATATTTTGCAATATGCGATATATTTATGGCGATAGTTTAATATCCAACTTGTAATATTGTTATCAGAAGTGTCAAATAGGGAATTACTCATAATAAAAAGTCTCTACGCGAATTATTGAATATTAAACATATAAACCAAATAATTTTAAATATGAATTGATCCTTGTGGAGACTTGAAAAATGAGACAACATCAAAGGGGAAAATATAATGTTTTAAGCTTAGTCAAAGAAAAGGAAACCAAAATTGAATTTTTTTTTCACAATTTTAAACTATATCTAATAAATTTCATAGATGCACTAAATGAACACTATGTGAGCGCATTTTACACACTTTTAACTCAAGAAAATATTCTGATCAGAAATTTTGTCATTTAAAATCGGATAAAATAATTAACCCAAATTTTATATTTCGGAATGGATATACCAAATGAAACACTAATTGCTTCAAAAATCAAGTCTCGTTGTTCATTTGCGGTCTTTCCTGACGGCGATAATCCGTATGTAATACTACTTTTCATAGTTGGCATTTTAATCATATTTCCATATGCATTTTTCGGCATTAAAATCCTGATGCGAGACAAATTAGCAAATTTGGTAGTAATTGATCACAGCGTGGCCTTTTGTTTCATTACAATTTACACTGTTTTCCTAATTCTACTTTTATATTTATCGAATCTTAATTGGTTTAGCAACGGAAACAACTACTATATGTATCTTTCAGCGCGATATCTTCAAGTCTTTGCATTTACATTTGTATTTATTGATGTTACGAAAGTCCTATTTGCATTAAATGTTCGGGGATCAAAAATACTTCTATATTTGGGAAGAATAACAGAAGTTATAGTTGGTATTTTAGTAATCATCCATTACATTGCATTTTATATTCCAAATTCAAAATTTGATAAGATAATTGTTAAAAAAATACATGATTTGAACATAATGACATTATTAACATTATACATAATTTCTCTCTTTTTAGCAGTATTATCTGTATGCTTTATTTTTACAAATGTCCAAAATTTCATTGATTCAAAAAAGCTGCGAATGATAAAGATTGGAATATTCATATTTTCTTTATTTGTGATTGCTCATTGTAATACGTATTATTGGACAGAATCGAAAAATTTCCAATACCATTTGATGAAAGATCTAAACAATGTAAAATACTTCGATGAAAATACAAAATTTAACAAAAAGTATGAAATATTGAACCTTGCATACATGAGTTTGTGGAACCCACTCTGTTGCTATGTATTCTTTTTCATGCTATACTATCTACGTTCAGATATGAAAGTAGAGAATGCCACTGATGCAAGTATTGAATCAATTGCATTTGTATCATTTTCAATTTAATGCTAATCTTTGTATGTATATGTATCTTGTCGAGATGTATTATTTTTATTATAGTTAGAAATATCTACTTATTTATTTTCCTATCAATAAACTCATTTTTTCATGGAAAGCCTATTAATCATACTAATCCCCTCAAAATTAAGTAAAATCCTTCCAAAAATCTGAAAAAGAGGATTTACGAAGGAAAAATGGTTAAATATGCTAGGGCCGTCAATAATAATGTCATTTTTATCATAGCATTTGATATATGCTGTTCCTAGACCTTTTTTATATGTGTTTTCGTATTTGCTGTAAACTAAAGTGAAGATATGGGCAATTATTAAATTTATTGCTCCAAAAAATTATGAAGTCGTACTGACAATTATCGCAAAATCCTATTGACACAGTCCATTTATTTTCTAAATAGCCTAACATGACATTAGATTAATAATGATTAAAGAAAAACAATAATATTTTAGGAATTTATTCAACAAAAGATTAAGATTCAAACTTTGATTTAAACAAGTTAACTAAGTAAACAGTGAAATCACGTCGCATTTCTGGTGTAACAGCTGCTTGAGCACGACTGTCTAATGATGGTTCTGGACGAAGGATGAACTTTGTGCTTTGATCAACCCAAAGTTCCATCTCATCAACTGTCTGGAAAACACAATTAACTTGAAGTGTCTTCCACTTAGCCATCTTCTTAACACCATTCTTAGATACCATCGAAAGACCTGATTGACCAATTGTGCAAGTCCAGAATGAGTTACCAACAGAAGATGTAGCTGTGAACTTGAATGAATTTGTGCGCGAGATACTGTTGACAAATGATGTAAGTTTCTTAGAGATGCTGATTTCGTCTGTCATTTGAGTCATCAAACCATTTGTCGAGCGTGCACGAATCTTTGCTCCTGCATAGTTAGCTGTGATCAAAAGTTGTGAATCTTGAACTTCATCAATAAGTTTGTTTCCGCGATATATCTCGAATGTGATTGTTTTTTCTGCTTCTTCTGGTGAAAGATTAGTATGGAGTAATGTGCCGATTGTTGAAATATCGGATCCATTATTTCCTAATAATAAAAGACCTGAGCCATCACCAACAGTTCGTTGTGTTTCAACAATGTATGGATCTGTTGTCCATCCATCTTTATTGTATGCAATAACTTCGCATTTGACGAGACGATCAATGTCTTCTTCATTAGGTTCGTATTCGACATTTGTTGCACCTTCAACAATGTCCCAGTCGCCATAGCCTGAACGGAACCATTGATACTTGATACCTGTGTGATGTGATGCTTTCACCTTAACACGGAATACTGATCCGCTGACGAGTTTTCCTTTCTTGACGAGAAGTGTTGCAGATTCGATGACTGGAAGAGGTTTGACATTGACTGGTTTTTCAGCCAAAACTGGATTTCCTTTTGTTCCATCACTGCGAATTGGAGTAACAACTGCTGATATATTCTTCTCGAACATGTTTTCAAGAGGCTTGATAGTCTTCTGCTTTGTTTTTCCAATGCTTCGAAGTGATCTATCAGTGACAACAACCCATTCAATCTCTGTCTTTCCTTCATCACCACCATAATAATCATATGAAACAAACAAATTGCCATTGTCGCCTTGAATGATCTTAACTTTCTCTGCAACTGGAGTATGTGCAGAAACTGGGCCAACATCAATTGTTGTGTATGGTCCTGGTGTTCTTTTGTCTGATCCAATTACAGCAACTGAGAACATCAAGTAACAACCGATATCTTCTTTTGTTGGAATATAATCAAGTGAATCAGAAATAGATGTTAATGTTCCTCTTTCTGATTTCCTGAACCATTCATACTGGAACTGGTTGTATTTGTCTGGTTCTCCACTTATTACTGTTGGAACAATTCGTTCACCTTCGAAAATCTCTTGTGGTGCAGAAACTTTAACAGATGGGAAATACAAACGAACGTATTCATCAGCTGTTGTCATGACTGTGAATTTTTCTGGTTTTCCATTTGCACCTTTGTTCTTTTGTATCAAAGTAACTTGAGCTTTGATCAATGAGCCAACATCTGCTGATGTTAATGTATATTCTTTTTCAGTGGAAATTGCTTCCAATGATGTTAAAGCGTTTGATCTGTACCATGTAACTTTATCCCATGCAATGTCGCATTCAATGCTGACATTTGTACCTTCAATCATTGTTCCAACAATACTAGGAAGAAGTAGATGACTTCTAAGAACTTTCGGTGAATTCTCGGTCTTATATTTCTTAATTATGTTGTGATTTTCATCAAAAAGAACGACAACTGCAAAAATAACACCATCAATGTCATCAGGTGTCAAAACATAGTCTGGAGTATCAATTGCAACGGCTTTTGTGATATCGTTCTTCAATCTGAACCATGCAACTTCAATTCTTTCCCAATTGATGCCTTTTGCTTTAACATTAAGTCTAGCAATGCCACCATCAAATGGATCAAGTGTCATTTCGCTGATTTCTGGTAATGGCTGAACAATTTCACCGACAATTGTATCTGTTGTTTGATTTCCAATTCTAAGCATTCTTCCAAGGTATTCTTCTTTAGGACTGAACTTTTGACCTTGTTTGACTAATGCAAATCCATCTTCTTGAGATGAATCTGAAATATAAAAATCATATTCTTCTTCAAAAACAAATTTGTTGTTTAAGAAGACTTTTCCTGTGTGTTCAATTGTTTGTGGCTGCTTTTCCATCTGAATGTTCTTTGTTGTTGATGCAAAAACGGAATCACCAACGCATTCATCAAATCGAACTGGAGTCATCTCAACAGCAACATACATATCGATGTGCTCGTCATTAGGAGTGAATATTTGTTCTTCACATGCAATTGGAAGTCCTCTAACTCCCTTCCTTGAAGGAGTAATTGGTACATCTGAAACATACCACTTGTAAATGCATTTTCCGCGAAGACCACCGATATATGTAGCGCATGCTGCAAGAGAATAGTGTGTTTTAAGTGCTCCTGCAATGAATGGATCAACGAATTGTGGAACAGAAGGTAATACTTTGGTTGCTGAATAGAAATACTTTGTTTCTCCTTTTGTTCCTGAAATTGTGACAGGAGTATATGAAATTCTTAAATAATAACCAACTAAATGAGATTCTGGAACAATTTCGAAATTATCTTTCGTAATTTCGCATTCTTTGACGAATTCTTCGTGCTGGGATTTTGCCTTCTCAAGGTAAATCTCTGACTCTCCTTCTTCTCCTGGATAAAAAACAGGAGAAATAGTAAATGGTTCGAATTCAATAATTGATTCTGGGAATTCGATTCCGCTTACTGTCGGTTGAACGGATTGTATCGTATTGGAAAGTGCGAAATAGGAACATAGCTGTAATTTTGAATTCGAAATTGTTGGATTAATTTGGCAAGTAATTTGTTTTCCAACAAGTGACGAAGATAATGTAATACTAGATGTATTTTCAGCTATTATATCATCACCGTCAATCCATAAATACTTGGCTGGAATTCCGATATCTTTGATTGACAAAATGAAACCATCACGAGATATTCCTGTCATTGTTGGCGAAATTGGGAACGGGATGCATAATTCCTTAAGGTCACGACCAACTGGCTGTGGTGTATATAAATAAAATTTTCTTTCTTCAAAAACAATTTTGCAGCGGACAAGATGCATACGAAGGCTAAGTGTTATTGGTAATGAATCACTTGATTCGCCTTTTATTGGTGTCCATTCATTAGTTTCGTAGTCAATATCATCATGAACAAACCATTTGATTGAATCTGACTTGTATGGACAGATAATGCAGAATTCCTCACCTTTCTTCTTAATTTTGAGTTTATTTCTGCATTCAACTTGGCATTCTGTCATGAAATCAACTAAATCTTTTGTAAGATAATCAACTGCAATTTTTTCTATATCGATCTTATTTTCCTCTTCTTGTTGCTCTTCTTCTTCGTTAGAGTCTGGTATGAAATCTGTTTGAAGACCGTTTCTAAGTGCATAACCAACAATTGGAGAGTAGGAAAATGCCTTTGAGTAAATTTCATCTGTTAATAGTTCTCCATTGTATTCTCTTAATGAGATAGCGCCGAAAGCTGCAATCGAAAGATCTGCTGGGAAGTTTGTTAAATTATTATCAAGCTTAAGGCATTCCAAGTTCTTAAGAATTACAGCACCTTGTAGATTTTGCAATTTATTATTATTTAATGATAAGTATCTAAGATTCTCGAGTTTTGGAAAACCTTTCAAAGTTGTAATTTTGCAATTTTCTAGTGATAAAGAGCGTAATTCTTTGAGTAATGGAATTTGTGAAGCAAGTAAATCGATTTTATTAAGATTTAGGCATGAGCATTGTTGGTTAATAGATTTTATTGTATCGGCTTTAATTTTATTCTCTCCGAAATCAATGAACTTGAGACCTAGTTCACCTACTTTATCTTCTACCAAGCCAACATTCTTAATTGCCTTTTGGATAGAAACAACGGATTTTTCTTGTTCTTTTTTGACTGATTTTGGTGTTTGCGCTTTACCAGGACGCAATGATGGGCTAAGAGGAGAAAATGGAATCCTTGATTTAACATGCCTCTTAGTAATTGGTGTTTCCATCAAGGAAGAATTTCTATTTTTAAACGTATACTCCATCAAATTCTGTTATTATTTTTTACGAGAAATCTAAGGTTGTGCTGGCAACAGATCCGAAATATGCTAAAATTTTTTCTACATACCCTACGTTCCTAACTTCTGGAAAACGGTTTTTCACCCTTATGATCAGTTTCAGACACTTTGGGAGTCTCCCAAACTTTGATATTTTGCATTATGATAGAGAAACGTGTCTAGTTTAACGCACAGTTGTTTTAAAGGCAAATGATGATATCACATGAAATTATCAAATTATCAAATTTTGAAGTACCAGTCCAAAGGGTTAATTAGATCCTACACAGATGTGCGATAGTGAAACATATGTGTTCTTGATTTGAGAAGTCCTACTGATAGAGGTATGAATCTCACAGCTTTGTGTGAGTGTGTCTGACACTTGTATAGAGTGGAATATGCGCCGACATATATTATATAATAACATGTAGTTGATAATTATGAAAAAATAGAATTTGATGCGAATGATATTGAAAGTTGTTTTGTAATTTGATATTTTTCTTATATGTGTTAATTAGTAAATGGCTTGTTTGTTGTGATCGTACTGTGAAAAATGAAAGGTATTTTAAATTAAAAAAATGAGATTTTGAGATATCTCTAGAATTAAGAATTTATTATGTATTTGACTTTTATATAACTATGTGTAAAGGATCTCGATGTCTATATGCTTTAAATAAAATTAAATAAAATGAGATAAAAAATTAAAATGGACAAGAAGATATATGGAAATGTAATTTGTATTGTATTGGTTGTTTGCAAAATGATTTTAATACAGATTTAAGGATTTGGAATGGATTTGAAATTAAATGATTTTTATTCAAGGAATAATAAGATTTTGAACTGGTTTTTATTTTGAGAATGTAAACTCCTTCCATAGGATATGTATTAGAAAGATCAATTTTAAACTTTTTGAAAGAATTGTTTTTTTGTTGAGTGATTTTCTCTCATTTGATAATATTTTTAAGTTGGCGTATCTTACGCCCTTCCAAATATTTCTTAAAAATTTAAATTTGTCTCATCTCCTACTCTTAATTTAAAAAAATTTCAAAATCCATAATAGTAAACATTTCTTATTTTTATTTAAATCTGAAAAAAATAAATTTAAACAATTTCTCTACACACGACGGCTTCGGCGGTTTTCAGAATGGTTGACAACTGAATTCATCAGGATAATGTCGGTTGGGGTGCCCTTCTTGGCCTCCTGAGTACTCACCAAGATACCCCAGCTCCCGCAAAACACCTCCCATAGGTGAGCATTAACTGATGAAGTTATTGACAACTTTATCTGATTTTTTTCTTTGTTTTTTTGTTAAGATTTCTTAACCAAAGACTCGAAAACAAAACTTCGCTTCAAGTTGCTGTCTTCCCAGTTACTCTGTCGCAATCTTTTGTCTGATTGCGTGCAAAGTTCTGCTCCATTGAGACTTTGCCCGACAGATGCATCTGGGAGACAGCACCCAAGCAGCTTATCGCTTCAAGTTGCTGTCTTCCCAGTTACTCTGTCGCAATCTTTTGTCTGATTGCGTGCAAAGTTCTGCTCCATGAATTATCAAATATGTGCCATTTCAGGAGACATAACAAGCTCATGCCTCCTGGAATGGCGGATTGTTCAACAATCTTCTTCTGATTGCAGAACTTTCAACCGACAAGAGTGCACAATACACTCTTGTCGGTCAAAGTTCCGCATTCAAGTTATGAATGGGGAACTTGATATCATTCTGGGAGACATGCAGTGACAATGTCTCCCGGAATGAGACACCGTAACCGACAAGAGTGCACAATACACTCCTGTCGGTCAAAGTTTTGCAATCACATTCTGATTGCAGAAGATTGTCTCATTCTGGGAGACATTCAGAGGCAATGTCTCCCAGAATGAGACATTGTGACCGACAAGAGTGCACAATACACTCTTGTCGGTCAAAGTTTCGCATTCAAGTTATGAATGGGGAACTTGATATCATTCTGGGAGACATGCAGTGACAATGTCTCTCGGAATGAGACACTGTGACCGACAAGAGTGCACAATACACTTAATGTTTTCAAATTTTCAGATTTAAATTTAATCTTTATTTTCATCATCATTTATAGTCTTGTTCCTTTATACAGTTATAATAAATTATCGTCAGATTCTAATATTTAAGATTCTTACTACTCAATTCAATATAATTATGTTAGTCACTCATATTCAGGAGAATAATTTAAAAATCTATAGCTCATATTTTGATAGTTATATATTTAGATGATATATATTGCAATTCCGGTTTCAACACGATCAAATGCCAAACCAAGACAAAATATATATGAATTTTCAAAATATCGATATACATTAGAATCTATATCTAATTTTATCAGTACACAAGTAGTGAATGTTCAATACATCTTTGAGCAACGTGAATAGCACAATTTTATAGGATTATTAGTTGATTATATAAAATATAAGCCAAATCGAATCTGCTGTATAGTACTTTAGTTTATCATTGAATGTTAAATGTGTTCATATAAATATTTGAGTCAGATATCGCATTTTCTAATTTCAAAATTTATCTCATGAAGTTAGAATTTATTTGATCATACAACATCATGTTAGTCAAACCAGAGTTCAATGGCGATTCTAAAATGGAACAAATGCTTGTTTTATCAAAATGTTAAAATATTAATCTAAAAAACTTAATATCTAACCAAACCATTCTAGAATTATTATATACAGGTATGGGCAATCTAAATGCACACAGAATTCGGAAAATTAAAAAGAATATTTATGAGATTATTAAATCTTATGTAATTCAATGAAAAGTAGATAATATGAATATCCATAGGCTATATATCAACATATGAGTTTTTGGTTTGACCAATACTATACTAATGTGATCAAATTAATCTGATTTCTTAGATTTTCATTTGAAGCATTTGCAGTAGTAGAGGTACCTTTATATATTAACATATTAAAAAATTGCGCTCCGATTCGCAGTTTCTTCATGATTTTGAGATTGCATTAGATTTCGCGATGCAGAAAAAAATCACTTTAGATTCCCGTCAAACTCTAAGTATAAGCATGTCTCTATATGTAGAAACTGTCTGCGCTATTTATTTCCCAGCTCAAAAAACCACGGTGTCTGTGTGAGGAAAATACCCATTTTAGGACCCTGGGTAGGGGGTCATGAAAATTTTCCAAGAGTTGGAAATATAGGGTATTCAGAATAAATTTTTATTGAAAATAAATTCTATTCTATATCATATATTCATAGCAAAAGTATTGCTCAGTCGCAACATTTTGGCATGAAAATCCAATATACAACCAATTAATTTTGAGATTTGATTTGAAAAGCGAAATATCTGATTTTTCAACGGAATTGCTAATAATCACCCAAAACATTTTGGATGCCAATGAATTATACAACGTAAAATCTAATCACAATTCCAAAAAATATATTGAATATCTTTAGTTTTTTCATACAAATTTTTATTTCATGAAATTTTTTTGAAAGAAAAATGCGAGATTTCTCAAAAATAAAACGACAGTTCTTATTTTTTATTCGTATACTTCTGTATTTTTATAGAAAATTTAGATTATTATCTTTGCTCGTATAATATTTTTGCAATATTTGAACATACATAACGGGATTACAAAAAATTCAATATAATTACTCTATTTTTATTGAAATCCAACTGTTATACCTAACAAAAATCTTTTAATTTCATCAATATATCTTAATTATACAAAGAATAGTTTATTAGATGAATTTGTATAACGCACTTATTACAGTCATAATACGTGATGTCAATTATTGTCTTCAGTTTCTAAAATTAAATTATTTTTTTCAGCGGCTTTCAAAAGAGCTTCTCTGCATAGTTGACTTCTAGCTTTACTAAAAGCCAATTTCGGATTCATCTTCATTATATCACCTTTTTCTAATATTAGGTCAACAACATCTGGGAAATCGTTTTCAGAAGCCCAAACAAGAGCTGTATAGCTATATTTATTCTGCTAATAGAGATCAGCGCCATTGTCTATCAAATATTGAACTAAATCAAGATGTCCGGAAGAAGATGCGAGCATTAAAAGAGAACTGTCTTCTTTGTTAAGAGTTTTGATGTCAACACCCTCAGAAAGAAGGAATTTAACAAGTTTAATTACACCATCATTTGCCGCTCTTGAAATTACAGGAGTTCCATCTGCATATTTCGTATTTACATCAACACCTGCATCGATTAGCTGTTTTAAGACTCCAAAATGTAAGTTAGTAGCTGCTCTTGTAAATGGACTATCTCCATATTGGTTTTTGTAATTACAATCTGCTCCATTCGAAATTAAAAAGCGAACAATGTCACCTTTTCCACCTTCTGCAGCAGTAAGGAGAGGAGAATAATCATTAACTTCATCATTGACTCCACCATTGTTAACAAAGAAGTAAGTAAACGATAAAGTATTATAATAAGTGATACAATGCTGCAAACTAATGTTTTCTTCACTACCATTATCGAGTAACCAATTAACAACATCATTCCTGTGATATTCAATTGCAATAGCTAATAATCCCGTGATTTGATTTCCATTTTGTAAAGAATACTCAATTATTTCAATATTTCCACCTTTGACGGCAAATTTGGCAGTATCATCGCTAATTTTACATCCATTTAGTAATAAATACTGAAAGATTTTCTTGGATCCGAAAAATGCTGCAAAATCTACAGGATGAACAGTTTCTCTGTAGAGTTTAAGGTCAGCACAAATATCTCTAGTTGTAGAAAGTTCTGTTATTCTATCTAAATCGTCGAATTTTATTGCAGCTTCGATTGAATTTGGCGAAAAACCAATTTCAAATTCTTCTATTGAATATGGTAATCGTGGTCGATTGGTAAGCGAATCAATAGTAATTATCTTTCTTCTGTAAAGGTATTCAGTAAAAGGAGAAGTCGTAACTCTGATTTCTGTAGGACCGAGTTTTCCCCATAAATCACCGAGTAATTTCCATATAAATGGTCTAATTTTTGATGCATATATAATCAATTTATAAACTTGATCGTAATCATCTTTGGAAAACAGATTTTGAATCAAAATTGAAGTTTCTTCAACAGTTTCTTCACAAAGTTCAAATAACTTGCTCTATAGAATATGCCTTGGCTGTAATAAAGGCGCATTTTCCATTATTTCATCGCCAAACTCAGTCATGAATGAATATGAAGTGAAATTTTCAAAAAATTTTTGTCAACATTGAAAAGGGACAATTGTTGAGAAACAATCCAAATATCATATTTCTGCAGAATTTAAGCATTTCGATTTAATTCGCCAATATAACAATTCAAACCCGTAAATTTTAATGATCAACTTTTCATTCATTAAAACTCAGTATTATTGACTTATATCATGCGTTATTCCATTGTTGAGGCAAGAATAACATGTTTATGTTATAAAAGCATATAATATTGTCATAATTTTTTCTTACGCAAATTTCTCTTTTCAAAACCGGCATTAGTCTCTTTCTCCCAAATAAAATTACATTGAAAACGAATCTACATATTTAAAAAACAAATAAATCTCAAATGAGAGAATATATATCTATTAATTTACAAATAAATAAAATATATAAATCAATACATCTGCTTAGGAGGTGAACGAGACTTAACCTTCAAGCAATTTAAAGCTTGTCGTATTGAATTGAAAGTTTGGGAAGTAACGTTATCCGAGGATCTCGGATGATCATCTTCTATGAGGGAATCATCGAATGGAAGCTCTTTTTCGAAGAATAAATCGAGTTTTCGTAAGCTTGGAGGAACAGGTATCTGATCTATCGATAAAGGTCTGTACATTTCTACATTTGGAGATGGGCAATCAGCTAGCCATGGATGGTGAAGGGCCTGCTCAATAGTAAGTCTGTATTCTGTATTAACCGTCATCAATCCCGCAATAAATGAGCGACAGTTAGGGCTTAGATATGTAGGTATCGTATATTCACCACGTTTGATCTGTTCGAAAAGCTGCTGCTGATTCCTCTTGGTCCAAGGCAATTGACCGGTTAGAATGGCATATGCGATAACTCCGCAACTCCAGATATCACTTTTTCTACCATCGTATGGATGACCAGAAACACATTCAGGAGATGCATAACATGGGGATCCACATGGAGTATTTACCAATCCGTTCACTCCTACAAAACGTGATAACCCAAAGTCGGAAATTTTTACCATCCCACCTTGATCTAAGAGTAAATTTTCTGGTTTCAGATCTCTGTGGCATATATTTAAAGAATGAACGTATTGCAACGCAAATAAAATCTGTGATATAAATATTTTGGCTTCAATTTCGTCGAGCCTGCCTTTATCGACGACATGACTAAATAATTCGCCATTAGGGCAGAACTCCATTATAATATAATAATTCGTTTCGTCTTTTAATAGGTCATACAACGAAACAATACCGGGATGATGAAGTTGTTGATTAATTCTGATTTCATTTTCGAATCGAATATCTAAATTGTGCATTAATAAACGAGAGCGAAGGATAATTTTGCAAGCAAAATAGATTCCTGTATTCATATCTTGGCAGAGGCGAACGGTTGAGAAAGCCCCATGCCCGATTTCCCCTTTTAATACATATGGACCGATTATACCCGGCCCAAGATCCATTTATCGTTGAGAGAAACGATATGTAAAGTTAAATTAATTTCTAAAAAAAAAGTGATAATGATTTATTATCTTTAATCTAATTGTTATTTTCGAAGATTCTCAATTTTAAAATATTTTTCAAATAAAGAAATGTGCAAAATTAAACACTAATAATATATTATTAAAATTATGAGAAAATAATAATCAATTTTCAAAAGTGTAATTAAAGAAATCTGAATTTTGAATATGTCCTTCAAAAGATTGAATATGATTCAAGTTATTTCCATAATAATTTTCATAAAAATAATAAATATGATATTTGCTGTATTTTATTGTGAGAAATATTGAATTAGATATTTGAATAAATTGAATGGTCAAATTTTTAAAAGCCAAACAATTTTTCTTAATCGCATTTTTTTGATATTTGTGTCTGATATACATGGATGAACTCAGTGGATTTTTCCAGTCCTCATTTTTAATTAAACGGCCAATATTCACAATCTTCAGATTTAAAAGTAGAACAGAACCTATATTGGAGTGAATAAATATATTTGGATAGGACAATATGTTACGATATTTTAGTATATATAACAGTTTGAACAAAAATTTGAAAAAATTGAATATTAATCCCAAAATCAATCAAAATAGAAATAAAATCTTTGACAATATGTCTCAAAATAAATAGTATCAATTTTTTATCAATTTTTATTTAACAAGATAGAGAGGTGTCTTTCCTTCAGACTTCTCCTTCGCTGCAACGATCATTTGAAGAATATCACCCCTATAAGTACTCACAAGAGGAGGAATAACCGTTCCAAAACAAGAAATAAGTTCATCTTGAGTTGTTGGAAGGTTTTTTGCAATTTTCCATATTTGGTTATCAGTTACAAAGAAATTTGGACTTTCATCTTCGATCGCAGCAACTGAATCTCTCCAAGAAATTAATTCTTTTAATATTGTGGAGGAAAACTGTTCAAGATCTCCATATTTAGCTATAATATCATTATACATCTTTTCAGCCATTTCCGGTGTGAAAGAATAAGGAATAAATGAAGGAATAATTTGTTCAGGCAAAACAATGTTTTCTGCCATCGCTGCAAGGTGTGGAAGATGTAGAACACCTTCAATTGCTGTGGATTCCATGAATTTCGTTAATGGACGGATTCTCCAATCAACAACGATGTTTTGAAGAGATTCTTGCTCCTCATTGAGCTCTTTGATGCATTGATCAATAGTTTTACCTGGATATGATAAGGATAAGTCAATTGATGGTGAAATAAATATTCCACAAGATTCAACAAGTAAATCGTAAATATTTGGATCGAAAAACACTTTGACATAGTCAGGGTTCTGTAGAATTTCCTTCAATGGGTCCAAATTAAAACGTAATTTCATAAGATCGATGATAAACAAACCATAAGTCGGGGAATATAGAGTAAGCAAGCATGGATATGGTCTGTATGTTCTAATTCTATGAATTTCTAATGATAGGAATAAAATATTTGTTTTAAGAAGTTGTTGAGATAAAGAAAGTAAATCTCTCTCGTTATCTATAGTTTTATACTTATTGAAATCAATAGAATTTGATTTGAAAGTTGCAAAATTAGGTATTGACTTGATTGCATTAAGCTTTTCTGGCGGATTAATTTTTGGTGAAAATTTTGGTGGTTTTGACACAGTATTACTATATAAAAATGATATACCATTGATGTCTTTGAACTCTGTTTTAGCTACTGGTATTACTTTCATTTTATTTTTGTTCGAGAAATCGGCCAAGTCTAATTCATTGAGAATTCTAGTCATTGATGCTTCGCATGCGTTTTCTAGATCATCCATATCTTCAATGATGATGTTTTTATCTAAATAAGATAAGAATTTTGCTGCAATTGTAAAAGTTCGATTTCTTAATTGTTGATTTTTTTGAGCGAAAGGCTGTTCAAGTTGTGCTAATTCAAAATACACTTCCGATGGCATATCATTAACTGCAGTTGTTAAATCAATTAATGAATCTAGAAGCGAATCAGCCAAATCGCTCATAATTTTTTTTTTGCTCTCTCACTGAGATAAGGACATTATTTAAAAAATATGCTCCTACAACAATAACATGCAATAAAAGCTTAAAAATTTTAGTTGAATTGCGATTTTGAAATTAGTTATTGATTGATTATTCATGTATTACTTTCCAAAGCAACGTTTTGAATCAGCTTTTATTGCACTTGATATTTTAATCTCTGAAAAACAACATTTATGATCAGAAATGATAACATTAACAAATTATTTGAAATTAGTTTTATATTTTTATATGTCAATTAAGTGCTTATTTCAGATGTGATAGGGTTGTTCATCTTCAAAACAATTTATTTCGATTTAAAATTAAAGGTATATTCTTTCTTGGAATAATAAATTTTATTTAATTGTTAAATCTACATACTACTGTGTATTATTTATTGAATTTCGTCGCAATGGGATTCATTTCATTTCTTTTTGGAAGCGAATAATTAATAAAAACAATATTATGTGATTGTTGGATCTCCTTTTTATTATTTTGGATTTTATTTGACATAATTAAATTTCCATATCGATTTTTAACTTTTCTTACAAAGATTTTTATTTATATGGGTATAAAATACGCTAAATAAGATTATGGCATTAAAAAACAAAATGTCATAATTAAAAGTGACAATATGTCAAAAAACTTTCGAATATTGTTTAAGGGTGAACCCGTATGTACGTTTATTTGAGAGGAGGAGGATTACCCTCTCAATTTTGAGGGATTCGTTAGTTTATTTTCTCGATGAATATGCAATAAAATTTGATTTTTACCTTATCAATATACTTCATATAATATACACATGTTCATGTAAAAACTTTTTTCCAAAATCCTCAGGAATTAAGGGATTTTTGAATTTTAAGAATTTTTTCGAATTTTTTCGAAAAAAAAATATTTTCAGAACAGCCTTAACGGCTAAGATTTAGGAACAATGTTAAGTATCAAAAAGAAAGGAGGTCTGATATAGACAACATATATCGTTGAAGGTTGAAAAAATCTCTAATATTTGAGCCCAAAATTTCAAATTTTAATTTTTTGAAAAAAGAGGCCACCCGTATGTACGTTTATTTGAGAGGAGGATTATATTTTTGAAAGGGTGAAACATTATGAATATGTTAATTATATAATAATATGTATTATTATAAAAAAGAAAAAATAAAGCACGTTAAAATTTTTCTTTCTTGATTTTTTACAAAATCTACTTAGAATTATGCAAAATATGACTAAATAATTATAAATTTCAAGTTAAATTTTAATTTTGATAAATAATTTAAATTTCAAAATATCAAGTTCAGTTCGACTATGTATGTAGTAATTCCTCAATAAAGTGCCAAAACCCTATTAAAATATATGAACATTTTCAACATTTTAATGTTTTTATTTAAAAATTTGTGGAATATGAGCTTCAAACAATTATTATGTAAATAAAAATAATTAAATATATGTATTTATTCGTATTACAACCGTAGTAAGTCGATTCTTCCTTTCTTCTACTGAGTTTTGAATTTGATTTCGAATTGTAAAGAGATTCAAAGGGAAAATACTAGCGGATAAAAACTACCTCCATGAAAGGGTCATAATGGAGTCAAGTTGTATTTTTTGATATTTTTTTGCTTTTCGAGCCTAAATAGGTAGCCAAGATAATGCCTAAAAATAAGGTTCTAAATTCTGAAGTTTACATGATCCTCTCGTGTGCACCCTTAATATATGACTAGTCTTATATCCAACATCTCTACATTAATTTCGAGAATTAGTATCTACAAAAATCATTTATATCCTATTTGGGATTTGATGTTTAATTTTTTGACAAATACGAATTGTATGGAATATGCCGAAACAATGAATTGTTTAGTAGCAGTAATAGAATGCAATATTGAATTAGATGAAATTGATCAAAACAATATGCTTTTTTAAAACATTAGTATCTGATAAATCAAATAAATTGAATTTGTTACAGAATTCTTTAATTGTAAGAAGATGTTGACAATTAAAGTGTTATGTTGAGAGCAATTAATGGTCACACACGTGTTCTGCGACTTCTTCTTTCTGATCCATCCATTGATGTCAATGCCACTAACAACTCATCACGTACAGCATTGATCCGGGCAGCTCGTGACGGACATTTCGAAGCTTTAGAACTTCTCTTGAGTTTTCCAGGCATCGAGAAGAACATCGTCGACAAGAAGAATCGCAGTGCTCTTCATTACGCAGTTCTTCTCCACCACAAACAGTGCGTTGAGTGTCTTCTGAACGACAAAGATGTCAATCCACAACTTCCTGATGATTCTAGTTTCACACCTCTTCACATCGCTGCATCTAATGATTTCTCAGACTTAATCCGTCTTTTCGCCGATCGAGATGACGTTGACTTGAACTGCGTCGACTCAATCCAGTGGACACCTCTCCATGTTGCCGCTAAATGCGGCTCAACTAGTTTCGTCGAAGAGTTGCTTCAACACGAAAATGTCGATGTCAACCGTCAGAACTTGATGAAGCGAACTCCTATTTTCAACGCTATTGAAAACGAAAAAATCGAAGTTGTCAAAGTTCTCCTTTCTCGTGAAGACTCGATTTGAGTGTTGTTGACAGCGAAGGACACACAGCTAAAGACGTCGCACTCCAGACAAAGAACGAAGATATTATTAATCTTCTTTTAAATAAATGAGTTTTTTTATTTTTTTTTGTTTGTAAAAAAATTATTTTTAATAATAAAAAACGATAATAATAAATCCTTGAAAAATTAACGCACTTGTCTAAAGGAAAATGATAAATGATGTTACGTATTGGAAGCATATTTATCCTGCTTTACAGAAATATGTTGAAAAGTGAGTAAAGTTATGAATAAACTGATCCTAGTGAATGATATTGTATTACACAGAAATTGAATGCGACATTTGAAATTGTTTGCAATAGCGAGAGAATAGATTATTGAATGACAAAAATGCATCTTGAGTGTCTTTACTTATACTTGTAATGACAAATGTTCTTAAGGGTGCACTTACGCGTATCTGACTTTAATTCAAATTTCTGACAAATGGCGTGAAGTGTCATTGAAAATTAACCTTAAACATCTGAATCGAAGGACATGTAATACAGGTGTAAGTGCACTCTTAAGAAAAATTTTCCACTTCAAGATAGCAATGATATAGTTAGTATGGGTAAGTCGTGTACTGTGGCACTGCGCGCCTCCGTACACCACTTAGCGGTTTTGACACTTTACAAAATCGTTAACGTATATTTTACAACACAAACGACAACACTAACTTAACCTTAAATATTTACAAAGCCGCCAACCACTTCACCTCACTAATGTAAAAAATAAACGTTCTCACTTACAAAAGTATTGCAACTCCTCCCATTGCTGTGCTTCACATAACAGCTCATAATCTTCTGACTCACTTTCTTCTTCATATAGGTCAAAATCACTGTCAAAATAAATGTTAGTAAGTTTTGACAAAGCTAATGAAACACGCTTACCGTTTGTATCGTATGCTTGTATAAACTTTCCATTCTTCATTCCTTCATAAACGCTCAAACTAATTTTACCCTTTCTCCCTCGTATCTGATAGAATGTATTTTCACGAGGAACGAAGAACAAATTCTTGAACTCATGACCGTTGTAGTTTGTTATCTCAATAGTTTTCGTCATTTACATCCAAATAAAAATAAAAAATAAAATAAAAAATAAACTTAAAAATTAATGATATCACCACCCTCACACGTATGAAAACATAGCACAAAAATAAATTTAGGTGAAGTGGTGAGATCTCACCTCTTTTTTCACCTGTTTTTTCACCCTGTTGAATTCATTGCTTTATAACTCTCTTCCTTTCTCCAACTCTTCTAGCTTCTTCTTAAGTTCAGCAATGTTGTCCTCATGAAGTTTAATCTTTCTCAAAATTCCTTCTTTATCTAATGGTTGCTTTATCTTTCTAAACTGAACTCTACCATCCTTCATAGTATGAACGTAAAAACCTTCTGGAACCGCTCCTGATTTAATGTATTCTACCAAAAACTTTTGTTTCATTGCTTCAGTGACTTTAGTCGTCATTTCAATCAAATAAAAATTTTAATATTAAATAAAAATAACGTTATTTTTTCAGTAAGGAAACGCAGGAGTTTTACGATTTATTTGAGGAGTAGGTTCTGGTTTAAATGTTGGAGTCGGTTTAGGAGTTGACTTTTGAACAGGAGTTTGTACTTCCATAGGTTCAGGAGTCATTGAAGGTGTTGTTTGTGAAGGTGTTGGTTTTGACGTTGGTTTTGGCGAAGGTGTCGGAGTTTGTTTAACTTCAGCTACTTCAGTATTATTTACAACATTTGCTTTATTTCTTTTCAACATCATAACTGCTCCTGCTGTAGCTAGCAAACCTAGTGGGAGACCATATCTTATATAAGGACTTGACCAAATGCTATTTTTGACAGGAGCTGGTGGAACACCTAACCTTGGTGAGACTGCTCTTTGCCATTGTGCAGCTCGTAAGAAATATTCAATAGGTGCTCCATAATCGTTTGGTAAAGTTTGTTTCATAGATGGTGAAGGTTCACGAGAGCTTGATGAAGAACTCATTTATAAGCTTTAAAAATAAACGTTCATCCTTTATTCCTCACTGTCGTCCGTAGCTAAGTTATAGTCATCTAATCTTATTATTGGGATTCCATTAGCACGCACCTGAATGGCAAAGCAACAATCCCTCATAAATCCAATAAGTGGCTTTGGTACGTTTTCAGTTGCTAGTTCAATAGGTCCTTTAACAGACAATTTGTATGTTATTGGAGCAGTAGATGTTTGACCTTGCTGGAAGCAAAAGTCCACTTCTGTTGGAAAACCACATAAGAAATGTGTGTTGTCATAGCTATCCCATTTATGTTCCACACTACCATCATCCACCAATGACCTCATAACATCTTCATTAAATCCTATCATATCATTGTTTGTATTGCAGGCGTTCGCAACCATTTCATAAAATACAGGTCCATATGATTTTTCAGGTTCTGCAGGCATATTTCCATAAGCTCCCATGGAAAGCTGAAGATATTTAAACTTAGGGTTCTCAAAATTAACATAATAGTTGTCTTTCTTTCTAAATAGTGCCCAAATACTTTTAACATTAATAGGCGTATAAGCTGCTGTAAATGTTGCACTTGAACTATCTGTATTCTTTGAGAATGAACCGTCCATAGGAATCCAATCCATAACTTTAACAGGAAAACATAAAGCCTCGTTTGTATAATGTTCTACAAGTTCTGTATAAATGTTAGGGTCTAAAGAGAATGACTTTGGATGAATGAAACATTCATTAAAATCCATCTTTGTTCGAAATAGTTGCTGGTTACAGTTGTAATAGTAACTGTTCCACTAGCTTCTACTGCCTTCGTTATCATAGTGAATGGTTCATTCCATGGAACAAATTTATTTGTCGGTGGATTTGAATCTGAAGCAAATGCAACTTTAAGAGTTGGATTGAAAGCAATGATATCATTTACAGATATAGATGTGCATTGTAAGGCGTCGCTACTGAACTTTACTTTAAGCTGAATGTTTCCTGCAAAAGCTGGAATAAATCGAATAGCTTCTAATGGAAGGAATCTTCTAACAGGAATTCTTAAACGAAGCTTAAAATCAAATGATTTTCCTGCTGTAATTGGACCACTAACAATTTGTCCTGTTCTGCATGTTCCCGAATGACTCCATACATCTTCATGTCGAGTCTTTGAGAAAACATCTACTTTCTTTATTTGTTCGGTAGTTTGTGAGTTTGAAGTTATATATGCTTCTTCTCTTGCGTTGTCTTGAGAATATACGATACGACCATTTGCAAGGATTTGATATCCAGCAACTGCATAGAAAGCGTCATCGAAACCAATCCAAAATCCTGGTGGGTTTGTTTTATTGGAACCTGAACCAATTTCTTTATCTACAATAAATTGACCTTCCATTTTATACGTAATGAATGTATTGTAAAGGTCCAACATATTTTCACCAGGAGGTGAGAGATTGAATGTTACCCATGTGTTATCTTTAGCAGTTCCAGGTTGTGATGGAATCTTTGCGTCAGAATATTTTCTATTAGTGTCACCAATTTGAACTGCATTGTCTATGATATCGAAATATGAGCGAATCTGATGAATATGCTCTGCTGGAGTAAATTCGTTTAGCTGTTCGTTCTGCATGTATTTACTTCAGATAAAAATATCTATTTACTTCATTATTCTCACTCTTCTTCTTGGATTCGTGGTGGAAGTTGTTTCTTGACATTTTCAATGAACTGTACATTCTCTTTTGTCTCAACTTCTTTCACTGGTGGGTCAGGGTTCTTTGACTCGGTTTGTTTTTCAATGAAATTCACGAACTTTGCAATAAGCTCTTGGTTCGTTATTGAAAGTACATCTGGCTTCTTTTCTTCTGGTTCTATTGACTTTTCAGTTTGAACAGAAGGTTTTATATGGACTTCGTGGACTTCACCCTTGCCATACACCTTAATGTTGTCGCTTTCTGCATTCGCTAATGGAACCTTTCTTTTTCTTACGTATATTTTACCATCTTTACTCTGACTTACGTAATAGAAAGGATGTTGTATTCCTCTTGCGTCATTTAATATAATAGACTCTCGCTCTGATTTTGACAAGCTCATTTTACATCGGTTAAAGTTTTAATTTTGTTTTTTATCTGCAGTCAAATGACTCAGACAAGCCTACGGACAAGACCCAAGGGGTCATAGATGTTGAAGCATTGAAGAAAGAAATTCGTGAGCAAATTTTATCCGAACTGAAGGAACAAAAACAAGAACAAAAGCCAGAGAGACCAAAGAGAAAACTTAGTGAAAAACAACTTGCTGCATTAGCTGCTGGAAGACAAAAGAACCCAAGACTACTGGCGAAAAAGCTAGAGAAGAAGCTGAAGCAAAAGCTAAAGAAGCTGAAGCAAAGAAAGAGTAAATGGTTTATTTTTATCCGAATTAAATGTATAGACAAATACCTTTAACTGTTGCGTTCAGTAGTGAAAACCCTGACGTCAAAATAAAGGGGAACAGAGTAACGTTTAAGTTTCCAACAGACTGGATTGTGAACATAAATGAAGAGAAGTACATTGGCATAACATCTATGTATATAACACGTGCTTTCAGAAAGGTTGACTTTATACTTCAAGTCGAGATAGAAAATGACGAACAGTCTTTAAGCGCCCAAAACATTCACATATACAAATACTTTAAAGACGATACAACATTGTTGCAATGTATGATTTCATTTAATGAGATGTTCGAGAAAAAGTTCAACATTGAAGTACAAACTTTACAGCCTTTACGTGAGTTTCTTGCACAACTGAAAGAAGAAGGTAGTCAGCCACAACTTATAGACTTTCATTATGAATTTAATGAAAATGAAGATGGAACTCATGACTGTCAGTTTGTTATATATTCACCATTCAATGAAGTAGCTAAAAAGAAAAAAAATCCATTACATATAAGATTTCAAATCTCTGAACCAAATGATGATTTCAAGAATGTTTTCAATTATGATGCAATGCTTCCGAGGAAAAATGAATTTTCAAAGATTGTAACACCTGGCATTTGGGATAGAAAGCAAGCTATATTATATTCAAACTTAAGTAAGGGAGTTGAAAATGAGTTCATTGGTCATACAAGAACTTCACCACTTCCTAACCCTAAATACTATAAATTAACTGGCTTCAATCGTGAGTTTTGGATAGACATGTTCTCCACTCATGACCATAACTGCCCAGTGTTCTTACCTCCAGACCATAAGGACTGTCTCTACATTGAAACACAACTCTTAAACTCTACCATCGCAGTATTGTAAATGACCTCATGGGCTTCGCCCTTGCCGCTAGCGGCTTATTTTTATCACGAATGGTCTCATTGCTGACAAAAATAAATGACCTCATGGGCTTCGCCCTTGCCGCTAGCGGCTTATTTTTCTCATTCATGACCTCAGAACTTAAGCTTTCTTATGAATGAAGTCTTAGTCTGAATAGAAAAGTTAAACTTTTCAGCAAAGCAAGGTTGACACGACTTACATAAGTCGAATGCAATCTCTTGACCGTCATAAAGTGCTTTATATAACTTCATAACACTGAACTCAGAGTCTTTGTCAAATTTTCCTTGCGGAACCATTAAACCTTTATCTTCATCATAGAAACACTGAACAGAGTCAGGAAACATTTCATTAGCGGTTAAAGCAATAACATCTTGCTTCACGCCTTTCATTCTGCAGTGGAATGCAACTTCATTTAAATCATTCGTGAGTAAGTCTATGTAAGTCTTCTTTCCACAAAATATTGACTTGTATGCTAAACTTTGTTTTCCAGGTGTTATTTCTGCGAAGTCGCTATGAAATTGACCAAGGTTTTTACCAATGAGAACTCTTCCATAACGTTTCTCAAACTCTTCAGCTAAACGAGGGATATCTTCATTGTAGAGATGCATACTGTCGGTATCACTATAAAAGATGTCCATTCCTAAGTCTCAGCAGTACAGAATACTTCACACATTATTCTCTTCGACATAGACAGAATGTTAACACCAAGTGGACAGAAGTTAAAGTGTCTGCAAATGCTTTTCGTTAGCTTGAAAATAGTTTTATCTGAACCATCCAAACCTTCGAACTTCACTATATGGTTGTAGTTTCTGATGGCATATCTTATAGCATCTTTGTCATTTACTATGGTTATTTTTGACTCAATAGGAGATAGAATAGTTTTGCCATAAATACTGTTCAGAATGAGCTTTATATTTTCTTGCAAAGGATTTCCTTCTTTCTTATACTTTAACCTTAACTCAAACAACTTCTTTACTTCATCTCTTATTCTAATATCTCTGTTTCCATCGTAATAGTATCCTTGCAACACTTCACATTTGACACCTTGATATTTTATAAGGTCCTGTAATGTTATATGGTCAACATACATGAGACAGCAAGTGTTTGAACTTCTGGGAACGTTAAGTTCTGGATTTAGTTCAGGGTCACAAACTATTAAAGGAAAGTGTCTATGTATGCCAATCTCTGTTATCTTAATGAGAAAAAGAAGCCAGACATAAACTTTTCACCAATGGGTTCCTTTTGGTCGTCATCGAATAAATGTCTCATGAGATACTCTGTGCTTAACATTTCTTTCTTCATAACCTTTGGAATACCTTCTAAAGTATAAAGTCTTGCTATAGCTGATGGATATAATGAAACAGCGTCGAAATCAGCAATGAGTTTCTTTTCGCTCTTTTGTTTAATGTTATCTGACAACATACATCTTCCACCTTGAATACAGCGTGAAATAAATTCTCTTGGTTTATTTGAGAGGTCATAAAGATTTCCATTCGGGAAGTATACTCTGTTCTCAAATAATTTGTTAGCAATTGAACAAATACTAACGTAGTCATAAACGTTTAAATCAAATTCTTTCAATATGTCATTGCGGAACTTAACAAAACCTTCTCTTAAAATTCTTACATCTTGTTTGCAATAAAATGTGCTATATTTTCTAAGTCGAAGTGGTTTTCATCTATTCTGCAACCTTTGATGGAATCTATGTTTTTCATAAATGTATCTGCATCCCGGATAAACTTACATGCTTCAGAAATGACACCAGTTCTGTTGTCATTTGCTAACAAAACACTGCTGTAGTAGTTATATGGAAATACTTCTTTCGGTCCTGTTTGTAAGTTAAACATAGCAGGAAATAGTTTAAGCTTCTTATTTATAACACTGTAAGAGTCTTTTATAATAATTGCCCTTCCTTTATATAAGCCAGTTATTTGCATTGTTCGTGAACCTTTAATGATGGGAGTTCCTTTCACTTCTGTCATGTGTCTTAAGATGAAGTTTATATCATAACTGAGGTTATGGAAATATATTAAACTCTTGTCAGGAAGTCGCTCCAAAAATTCTGTTGCACAGTTCTGACCCCATATGCTTTCACTCACTGAACCATCTTCACTGTCATAACAGATGTTAAAAGCTTTATGAACTCCATCAGTGCTACACTCAAAGTCAGCAAAGAAAACGTGCTCAGGAATGAACTTGCACTTATTTTTATTTACTTCTTTTGACTCGGCTTTCTTCTTCAGTTGTACACAATACTTTGGAGCATATGTCAAATCTTTAAATGGTGCAAGGTTCTGTTTATATAAGTCAGTAGTATATGTGAAAAGTTCTCCATAAGAAATAGGTTCGAAATATTTGCACTCCCACAATGTTTTCATAACATCCCATAACGGTGTTGTTCTATCATAACGAACTACATATTTGTTCTCTCTCTTTGTATAAATCTTCATCTGTTTCTCAATGTTCATTCCACCACACTCCTTCAAGATTTCTATATAGTTGCGAATGAAATATGTTGTCATTGGTAATCTTTCATTTAGCATGTAGTGGTCTTCAACAAGAAGTAAGTCTATAGTTCGAACAGTTTTACATTCTTTTGGTATGTATCTCTTTATTTCATTATGTCTTGAGTCATTGAAGTAACCAATGGTAACATTAAATGCTATACCTGTTGCGTCAGAAATTTCTTGTACTTTACTTTGAGGAAAGTCTCTAACACGAATGACTTCTCTCATGTGGTCAATAGTTTCTTCATTTACTCCAGCCTGAATGCAAGCATAAACGAAACAATTGTCCTCTGTCATAAGTGTTGCAGTTCTTTTGTTCAGTTCATTGAAGATTTGGTAGCGCTCAAGATTTATAGGTAATGTGCAAAGATACTTCCAGAACTGACCGCTTCTCTTCTTATAAAACTTCTTTTCACCATTATCTTTCCAAAAGCTTTCTATAAGTGCTGGGTTTCCTGTTTGCTTAAGAGCTTCCAAAATGGCTTTCTGGTCATTTGTCAGTGTGCTTTCATCTCTATATGGTCTCTTTTTTGGTTTGCCTTTCTTTACATCTGACATCGTTAAGCCTTCATATTCTGTTAAATCATACATCTTTATTTCGGTAAGATTCTTTATGTTTGTCAAGAAGAAGTCATAGTGCATTTCAACAATACCTGCAGCATTTGCTTCTATCTCTGATATAAAGTTCTCCTTCAAGAGCTGATGTAGTAATGTTCCAATATTATTGAGGTTTAACGTAGAACATTCATACTTTCCACCAAGTTTATAACATACCATCCATCTCTGTTGTGAGTTTATTTTAATTTTCTCTAAGAGTCTCATGAAAACCTTACCGAAATGTTTGTGTAAGTAGTCTCTGTTTGGTTCATCTAAAGCTTCGATGTTAAAGTCAATGAGTCTATTGCCTGACTTCACATTTCTCTTCCTATTCTCTTCATCTTTCTTTAACCATCTCTCACCTTCTTTTGGTTTGTCGTCAATGGAACGAATGACATCGTTAGCTTTGCGAACTTGTTCTATAGCACTTTTAAACATCTCTCTTCTCTGTTGTTTCAGTGTGTCGTCTCTTCTTCTTGTTTCACCAACGTTTGCATTTGTTATGTCAAATATCTCTTGACGAACATCATGTGAAAGAGCTTTACGAGTATGACCAACGTTTGCATTTGTTATGTCAAACATTTCTCTTCTTACTTCATGAGGTACTGAACGTCTATGATATAAGTCAATAGCAACGTCATTTAAAGGAAATGCTATTGCATGGACTTCGTCCTCGCCGCGTTGCGGCTTTATGAACTCATGAATTTTATCGTAACTTATTGCACCATTATAGTCTTTAATGAAGTCAGCGAGTGCTTTTTTGTTTGTTGCGTAATGTTTTGCAACATCTATATTAGCTTCTGTAAGAAGTTGTTTTATTTCCGAGTGTTCTAACTTAGACAACTTCCGATACATCTTTAGTAGGAAATAAAAAAATATTTTTTGAAAAAATTAGATTAGATTTTTTTAAGTTATTTTTCAAAATAATTTAATATTTTTATTTTAATGAAACACATGCAAGATTGCAAGTTCTTTTCATACAATGCTCTCGCTACTGCCATCAAGAATGAGTTCAATAATGCTTCAAATGTTAATGTTATCTTTAACAAGAAGTTTGTGAAAGAATCTAAGTTTGGTCAGTATGTCAGACCATTAGCTATCGTCATTGACCGCAAACGTTATACTTCACAAGAGTTAGCAGTAGTTTTGAAACAAAAGAGTTTCTTCGTGAATGTCAAAGATACTCATTATACTGTTATAAAGAACTCTAACATTGACTTCTTCAGTATTGCTTTAAATCTTTCCGAACAGAAAGAATATAAGAAGGGTGAAACAAATGTGAAATATTATCCTTCATCTCTGAAAACAATAACGAACAAAGATGTTATACAGAAATTCTTACCAAAGGTTGAAGAAGCTTCTATTGACATTGACGAAGGAAGTGAAATGGTTGAAGAAATTGACCCTGAAGCTATTTAAGCAAAAATATATTTTTGTTCATTCTTCATATCGATATTTTACAACAATTCCCCAATGTATAAACTTTTCATACGCTTTTTCATAAGCTTTATATACCTTCAGAAATTTTGCATAATCTTTAGAAGCATTTAGATATTGTTTAAATGCTTTGTATGTCTTCAAAAATTTTGCATAATCTTTTACATGTTGTTCGTTCTCTTCTTCTGTCATGAGTTCCGAATATTCTAAATTCATGTTCTTTCATATGAGATAAATTTTATAAAAAATATAGCTTAGATTTTTTTATTCTTCCTCTTTGAAGTTGTCGAAATATTCTGTTATCTTTTCCTTCAGTAGCGGTAAGTCTTCTTTGAAGGTAAGAATTGTACAACCTTTAATATCATAGTGTGTTTGAGGAAGAGTATTTTTGACAATTTCCTTTATTTGCTCATTTGGGGTCATTGAAATCGGTAAGTTTTCACGATAGAACCAGTTTCTGTCAGATTTGTAAATCTTAGCAAGGTCGTAAAAGCTTTTGTTGTTTCTTCTGACTAAATGCAACATAACCATATCTCTGTCTTCTTCATTTTCCATCTCTTCAGTATAAATCATATACTTATAGTTCTTTTCCTTTCCTTTTGGTACCGAACGTGGTATTCTTTTCTGAATGCTTTTGTCTTTTGCTTCAATGACTTCATCTTTTGCTTGAAGTTTATTTTCCATCTCTTCACGTTCTTGTCTGTGAATTTCGTCAAGAAGTCTGTAAATATTCCAAGCATAACGAGGTGAAGCCCACATTGCTACAGCATTTACGAGAAGTCTATGAACATACCAACCTCTCAAACCATTTGGCAAATTTTTACGATTTTCATAGAGTTATGGCGACCCCGAAAAAAGTCGGGCTCGCTGTTCTTCACTGTTTTCATGAGTTTTAGGCGACCCCGGTTTTTTACCTACTCGCTGTTCTTCACTGTTTTCATGAGTTTTAGGCGACCAGGGTTTTTTCCCTACTCGCTGTTCTTCACTGTTTTCATGAGTTTTAGGCGACTGCGGTTTTTTACTTACTCGCTGTTCTTCACTGTTTTCAGAAAAAAGTATGTCTCGCTGTGCTTCGCTCAAAAGTTCTTGTGTGCTTTGGTTTTTGAACCAATCGTCTGTATGTTTGGTATCTGGAGCATAACATGCTGTCAAAATACTTTGCATTTGGTACATATCATCTTTGACTGAACGAATGAGTCTCAATTGTTTGTTATACTGTATGTATTCGTATTCTTCATTTATGACTTCATGAACGATAGCAGTTGTTGTGTTCTCTGATGTTGACATTACTGTCTTTACATACAAAATAAAAAAATAAATAAAAATAAAATTAGCGTTATTTTTCTGAGATAAACACTATTTCTTCACAACATTAAATTTTATCCTGTATGAAATGACTTTAAAAAGATTATTGACTGACTTCGAATACTATCTCATTGACGCACTGACAGACCCTCAAAACTGTGTTGAAAGTTCTTTAAGCTTTAAGATTGAAGGTACGACGCATTTTGTCTTCACTTACGTATTGAAAGAATATGACCGTTATCATAATGAAGTGAATCAAACACTAATAAAATTTGTAGATAAAAAATTGGTTAACAATGAATATTTTAAACGTGAAGACCCAAACACTGCTGGAGATGATGAAGAATACAGACAAGTTATTGAAAAAAATAACGCAAGATTAGATGCAATAGAAAAGAATTTTAATGAATGTCTTACAAACACGTATGAATATCTTATGCGGTGGGAAGCTAGATGGAAATAAATTTACGTCAAATATGCAATTTATAAAATCTTATGTCGACAGGCTACGTAGCACAGTGGTCTAAGGTGGTGTTATGGAGGGGTCAGGGTCTGTGGTTCGAACCGCGACAGCGCCGTATTTTCTTATTTTCTTTGTTTGTCTTGTTTGTCGTGAATAAAAAGTGTCATAAAAGTGCTCTATCTTCCACGGGAATAAATAAAAATTTACTTTATTTCTTCTTTATTTCTTTGTTCCCGTGGAAGAAGGGTTTTGCTGTTTTTTCTGTTTTTTCTCAGCCGAAATCAATGATTTTTTCATTTTTGGAATCCTTTGCGAATGAGGAATCTTTTCTCTCGTGGAAGCTTTGACCAAAAATAATGTTTAGGTGAAGAGGTTAGATCTCACCTCTTTTTTCACCTCTTTTCTCACCTCTTTTTTCACAAGCGTTTTACATGAATTGTACGATGTATATTTGAGACTCTAAACAATTTCGTAGCTTCTATTTCTTCTTTTAGTACATCGAATGTTTTAACAATGCCGAAAGTCTCTTTATATTTCTTCTTGACGTCAGACAGAAGGAAATCTTCTGCTGTTGGATAATTTTTATTAAGAAATGCTAACATGTCCATTTTATCTTCTGCTGGCTTTTCTGCTTCTGTCTTTAAGTCTGCATAGTCGTTTCGCATTCTTTCTATCTCTTTGACGGAGTAGTTATATTTTCTTATTGCTGCTTTACATTTAGAACATTGCGGGTTCATTTTTGCGTTATACATTGAAATTTGACCTGCTAGAACAACTAAGGCGTCAATTGCTCTCTTCATCTCAAACATAGCGGGTCTTAGTTGTTCGTTCCATACTTTGCCTCTTCTATCTTTATCTCTTATTTCCCAAACACATTCAGCAACTAATGAAACAAAGTTATCGTATGTCTTAAATTCTTCAGATTTATATATGTCAGAAACATTCTTATATACCATGTCGCAATCTTTGTCCATAACTTTATGGTTGCAATGAAAACCAAGGAATTCATAATTTACTTTACGTATGAACTTCTTTATTTCTACTGAGTCAGTTGGTTTGACTTCAATTTCGTCGAATTCAGGAATAGTGAGTTTTTGTTGTTGGATTTCAGGTAGTTTAGGTAAATGGTCAATAATGTCCTGCATTTCATAAAGATATTCTTCATTTGTTTCATCTTTCGCACTACAGTCTAAATTACTTGTTAAAAGTTCTTGCTTTATCTTCTGGATTTTTGTTTCGAAAGTATATGAAGAAGGAATGAAGCTTTTCATTTCTACTAACATTGACGTAGGATTCATGACTAACGAATTTGGTGCTGTTGTTTGAATTGTTGTTGTGCCGATTGTTGAAATCATATCTTTACATACAAAATAAAAAAAATAAATAAAATAAAACTAACTTTATTTTTTCTATCTTAAGGAAATTCATGAAAATTCACGAGGGTGAAAAAAGAGGTGAAAAAACAGGTGAGATCTAACCTCTTCACCTAAACATTATTTTTGGTCTTTTGTGAAAATTCATGAAAATTCACGGGGGTGAAAAAACAGGTGAGATCTCACCTCTTCACCTAAAATATATTTTGTCTGATTTACATCTAATGAAAAAGTTTAGAAGAATTTTCTTATTCTTTCTGGCATATTTTTGTCTTTCCAGTACTCCCGCTCTAATGGTCCCAGATGTGTTGGCTTTGACTCTCTCAAGTTTTTAGATGGTATAACATCTTCAACGCCTCCTTCATATCTTGCTTTATAAGTGTCATTGTTTGTGTTATAGCCAAGTATTTCAATAACCACTCCTCGCTTTGCTTCGTCAATGGTTTCAGCAAGTTTGCCATTACTACTTTCGACTAATTTATGACGAGGATAAAACGCAATAGAGTCGTCAGCAGCTTTTATAAGATATCCATTACCTTGCGTAGAGTCTACGATATAATAGTTTCTACTTAACCTTAAACGTTTCTTTGTCAACGGTTTGTCGTCAAGAACTACACGAACTTTTGTACCAGGAATGAGGGTAAATTGTGTTGAATTTCTGATATTTTGTGTTTGACTTCGTTTCTTTTGTATATACTTTTCTTCTTGTTGTTGTGTCATTGAATTTGGTGTATGTCCTGTTGTAGAATGTGTTGAGGAATTATATACTTCGAGAAAATGTTTCATTGTTTCTTCGGTAAAGTCTCGCTCTTGGTTTAAATCTCTGAGCGTTCTTATGAAGCGGTTTATGATGCCGAGTATGTTATGGTTATGGTCTTCAGTAGTGTAGTGAGTTATGTTATGCTTAATGAGAAAATCTGTGATTTCATTGCTGAGGTATGCACTGTCTTGGTCTGATGTTAAAGTACTTGGGCTATGTTCTGCTACAAACTTTTGTAAAACTCTTAACACTTCACGAGTTCCTTTATTTTTCATTGGATATGCATATGCTTTACGAGTGTTAACATTAATGAAGATGAGGAATGGTTTATGTCCTCCTTTTCTGCTTTGAATGAGAGTGTCAAATTGGTATGCGTCAGGAGTGTTGGAGTAAATTGGTAAAAAGTAGTCGTAAGGGTTTATTTTTGTTTGATGTACAACATTTTTGTCAAAGAACCTTTTCACTTCAGCTCTGTTAGTAAATCCCCAACTCTTTGCAGCTTCATTGAACTTCTTAAATGACCTCCATGGATGTTGTTCGAATACTTCTTTCAAGCTCATTTATGTAAAGTTAAAGATTTTATTCTAGGCTCAAGCGCGTTCATTGAACGCGGTACCATGCAAATACAGTCACAAATGGTGGCATGTAATCTGCACCCGAGCCTGTTGGATTTGTTGTGAAAGTATGGACATGATTTCCTCCCGGTTCAGTTTGTCGAAAAGTCTTTTTTGCTGCATTGTTATAAGATGGAGATAAAACATCATTGCCAGCTTCATACTCTGAGTTGTATAATGGATGGTCTCTTAATGAGTGGCTATGGTCGCCAGAAAAGTTTGTAGTTCCTGTATGAGTGTGCGGTGGAAGGTTTGCTTCAGTAATTTTCTTCGAACCTCCTGTTTGCTTTGAAAAGTTAGCACAGTATAAGAATTTGTCTACAATCTGCTGCCATGTACCAAAACCTAAAACACTTGCGGGATTTGTTGAGTTCATTGACGTATAAATAGAGCCTATAGGATATAATGTTTGAAGTATTTCTGTCTTTAATGTTTGAAGCTCTGTTTTGTCTGCTTTCTTGTCTAACATTGTGGGTAGTTCATATGCTTCAAAGTTTCTGGCATGATCTTCGATATTCCTGCAACTCTTATCTAAATTGTTAAGAGTATCTTTTACGCTTGTACTTGGATTTTCTAATGGTGCACTTGAACCAAGGTCAAAGTTCAATATTATGTCGTCTGCTCTAACAGTAGTGAAGGATTTATGTGTATGGTTCTTGTCAGCTTTCTTATCTAACATTGCTGGTAGTTCATGTGCTTCAAAGTTTCTGGCATGATCTTCGATATTCATACATTTACCATTTAAGGAGTTTAGTGTATCTTTTACGCTTGTACTCGGATTCTCTAAAGGTGCACTTGAACCCAAATCATAGTTCAATATTATGTCGTCTGCTCTAACAGTAGTGAAGGATTCATGTGTATGGTTTTTGTCTGCTTTGTTGTCTAAAGAAGTTTGAAGTTCATTTATATCGGAGATATTGTGTTTATGAGATTTCAAAACTTTGTTCATTGCGTCAAGTTCATTTTTGTCCGCTTTACTATTTAATGTAGCTTGAAGTTCATTTATATCGGAGATATTGTGTTTATGTTCTTTATCTGCTTTTTCGGCTAATTTCTCTTCTATCTCATTTATTTCAAGTTCATGCCTACCACCACCTCCCGAAGAAGTATTTTTCTTCAGCTCTTGAAGAACGTCCACTTCGCCATCTTTGGTGTCAATAATGAGACTTTGAGTTAAAACCTTTCCTGTCTTAATGGATGTTTGTAAAACTTCTTCTTCACCATGTTCGGGGTCATGGTCGTCATCATATCTTGTGAAATCAGAGATGTTGTCATACATTAAGCATATCTGTCTCAAAAGTTCTGCTATTTGAAACTGGAACGAAAGATATACAGAACTTTCATCATCTCCTAAAGTCAAGTCTGCTTTCTTAAGTATTTCTTGAATGTATGCAATGAGAACAGAGTACCTTGGAAAATATTCGAACAATATTTCATTAGCTGTTGGTTTTGGTGGTTCTTTTGGAGTTTCTGTTGTTTCAGTTCCTTCTGTAGGTTCTGTTGGAGTTTCTGCATCTCTTGACTTCAATGCTCTTGCTCTCAAAGACCTAAATGTTAGAGCACCAGGTTTTACAAAGGACTTTATAAATGCTTTAATAGTTCCTGGTAAGTTATTGTTAGCATTAAGTAAGTTCCTTATGCTTCCATCATGTACGTCCATAGCACTATGTAAAAAATCTATACTTTTCTTGTAGTCAGCAATAGACTGACTGTGATTTTTTAAAGATTTGTCAATACCTTTAAGCCAATCTTCATGCATGTCTGATACTGAGCCAAGAATATCATTTGCTTCCTTTAGTGTATTTTGTGCTTCTCGTAAAGTATCCAATCCCGTACGTGCATTGTTTGCTATACGTCTTACAGTATCTATTTGACTCCTTGTTTCTTGCATCCAACCAGATAAAGTTTTAATAGTATCCGAACCATTTGAAATGAAGTTCAAAGCATTTTTAACGTCATCTAAAACTTGTTCACCAAGTACTGCCCATATCTTTCCGATTTGGTATTGAAGAACTCCATATGAAGCAGCTGTTAAACCAGTATTTATAAGGTCCCATATCCATGATTTAGCAGTTTTTCCATCCTTTCCATCCTTTCCATCCAAACCGTTTTCGCCTTGAGGTCCTTGAATTCCTTGAATTCCTTGAATTCCTTGTATTCCTTGTGGTCCTTGAGGTCCTTGAGGTCCGGTGTCACCCTTCTCTCCTTTCAGTTCATCTTTATGTTCGTTATAATATTCTAATGTCATAAGGTGTACATCATTACTGCTACCAGCAACGCCAAGAATTTGTTTCTCATTCATGACTAAATTCTTTAGGCATTTAATGTTGTCGTCAAATCGAAAGCTCTTTAACAATTCAATGAGAACATTTAATACTTTCACTAATGAGGCATCTACTGTAGAATTTATATATTGCACCGTTCCATCATTTATGATAGGAACTTTACTTATTGTAATGAATGGGTCATAAGTGTTAAAAGTATCGAAATCAATGACTTTTTTAGTTTTTCCATCGTCAATGACTAAATCATTGCCTTCAATGGTTAAAGTTGAGTTTTCGTTTACTAGTTCATGTGCTCTTCTTGCTTCATTTGTTTCATACGCATATGCAGCAATAGTCATATTTTAATGAGAATAAAATGTTGTTCTATTTGCAAAGTACAGACCCAAACGAATACGGGACAGTAAAGCTACAAACAAACTTAGGTCTTCAGAATGAAGCGCTTGCTTTCAGAGTTGTTGACTTCAATACTATCGCAACTTTTGTCATAACAGATGAAACAGATTTCATAGAGATTGAAATAGATGACAAAAGAAGTTTTATAACATTTCCTAACAGAGCAGAGTATAGAATAGATAAAATTGCTGGAGTCATAGATACTCTCATAAATGAAGAAACTATTGACAACATAGATGTCAAACTCTCTTCTGAGGGAACATTGAAGTTCAGTAGCAAGAAAGAGTTCAAGATAACACGAATGAGTCATAGAGTTCAATTGCTTTTGGGTGCATACCATATGCAACTACCTTTGAAAAGTGTTGACAAAACGATTGAGATGAAATCTGTTCCATACGTATGTTATGGCAATTGTTTATACATTGAGTCTAAAATAGCTAATGTCACAGGCATTTCAGGAGTTAATAGTAAAGGTTCAGTAGAGTATAAATCTTTCTGTTATGAAGTAAATTCAATGTTCATTCCAAACGTTCCTGTCATAGCAACTCATTTAGGTAAATGGGTTCGCATTAGTCCTCATAATTTGAAAGACATGCAATTCAGACTCTTGTTGACTTTCAAGGCGAGCCTGTAGAACTGAAGGCACCAGTGCGAATGACTGTTGAAGTTGACTTTTTAGAAAATATTAAATGCAACAGCTTGCAAGAGAACTCAGAGCTAAAATATAAAGTATGAATGTTATGTATTAGGTCATGAACTTTGGTTGTTGCTGTTTGATGAAACAAATGAGTTAGTTATGTCAGTCAAGAGAACAGAAAAATATTGTGTTAGTGAAAACTGCACCAAGTCAATAAGATTAGGTTTGCATTATGAAGATGAGTTCGATACTGTTGAAGAAGTTTTGGATAGATATTACAAATTGCTTTAATTTACTAAAACATATTTCAAGCAAAGTTTATATTCTGTTGAAAGTTTTGTATACTCGTTCGAATATTTATACTTAAACTCAACTCCTGTAGTTCCTGGTGTTTCAATGATGCGGATGTTACCTATTTTCATGAATATTGGCGTTTGACCACAGCATTCGATTTCAGGGTCGAGATAGTCAATGACACATTGTTTCCCTGTTATTCGTGAGATAACATTTTCAAGGTCCTCCTTTGTTAGAATTATTTGGTTCTTGCTTATAAGATTTGTCAAAAGCTTCTTATCGTCTTTGAGTAAGATAGTTTGGTATAACTGAAGAAGGTAATGGTCTACGTTATCTGAAGGATTTGTTTGAACATTTGTGTAAGGATTGTCGTTGGCTTCTCTTGAAAGAATTTGGTCCAGTGGTGGATACTCTAACTTAACATCTGATGTAGCGTTAGCGTTTGAAGCTGTGTTTAAATTCACGGATTTCAGCTCTGGTTCTGGTTCTTTCAAACACTCTGAACTATAGTTCTTTATGACAATATTGTTTGTCGTTCGTGAGTCAACATTTGATGTTGGTTCAATTGGAACATTAACGGCACCAGCTAAGATGGATTTGCTTCTCATTTCATATAGAATAAAAACCTTTTATATGTATGAAATGAACAATATACTCGACAAGGTTTGAATGTAAAGCTAACGAATGAAAATATTGTTGAATTCACTGAGACAGGAGCTGTGTATAAAGATGTAGAACTACTGAACAAAAGAGCTAAGGGAAGAAGCAGGAACATGAACAAAGGGTGGAAGCCTATAAAAATTTATGTCAATGATGGCTCAGGAGGTTCAAACATAAAGTATGCAGAAAGTTATAGAGTTTATGCTCTCAAAGGTGAAAAGCCTTCATTTAAGAACAGCTATTCTAACGCATATCCTCAAAAGCTAACGGATGGGGAAGTGGATGATATGAATGACAGCAAAAATATTAACAGAAATGGCGACAGAGATGCATGGAATTTGTTTACCATCAGTCAATTGAAGGTTAAACTTTAAAACAATGTTGGTCGTTCCCATGGAATATTTTTGACTTTAATGGTATTAGTCATGATATGAATCTCAAGGTATGAACGAGGAGAGATGAGAGACTTATATGCTTCCCAAATTTCTTCAAAAGGTAATGTTATACCTGACTGTTTCCAAATGAGTTCAATATCATAGCGTGAGAAACCTTGAAAGATAACGAAGTCAGTTATGAGACGTTTTATGTTTAAAGCTAAAAACCTCCATGTTTGCATAAGTATTGCTACAGTTAAATGGTAATGTCTGACTTTAGTTATGATGTTAGCTAATGGTGAGTCAGGCTTTGACACTAAACCTTTTCCGGCGAAGTCGTCGCAAACTAACAAAGTATTTGAAGGATATTTTTTGAAGGGGTATTTTGAAAGTTTTGACAGAATGTAGTTTGTAAGTCGTTTCATATCGTAAACTCCTGAGTATTGACGTAAGTGGTGTTTGTCAATAATTCTTTCCATCTCCTCAGAAGTCTTTTGCATTCCTGACTGTATAAATTCAACGATGGCATAATATTTTCTCTTACGTCGAATGTAACGTTGAAGAAATTCAATGAGTTCACTGTCTGGAACTTTAACGACAGAGGCTTGAACTTTTGACATAAATGTTTTCGCTGTTGAATCCATAGAGTCTGAAGTTGCTGATATAATGATTTGGTCATAGTAAGAGTCATTTCCTAAACGTTCTGTTATGAGTATATGACGAATGAGGTTAAATGTCTTACCCGAACCCATCTTTCCACAATAGAAATAAACACCATTTGAACAGAACTCATAGTCCTTACTGAAAGGAAGAATAAGAGAAGAGTTAAGTTTGTCTGTAGTTTCATTCATGTCTTCATCTACATCATGTATTAAATGCTTCATTTTATCTCCATTAAAAATGCAAGTCAGAAATATTCAGAACATAGCACCGAGTCTAACTGACAAGAGTATAAAGATATACTATGAACACGTTATGATGAAACCAACCAAAATTCAAGAAAGTCAGTATACTTATGAATATCCAAGACACTGGGTAGAGTATGTAGGAGGTGAGAAAGCTATTGAAATCAGACAGGTTCGAAGTATTCCAGCAGGAAGAACAATATTATTGAAGAACTTTAATGTTTTGAGGTATAATGATGAAACAAAGAAGCAAGATAGTTTCCCTGTTGCTGTGTATGTGAACTTAGATACAGGAGATGACATGAAAGTTTTTAACACAAAGCTTCAAACGGTAGTGAGAGAACAACTGACTGCGGAAGGACATCCATTACCTTCAGAAGTTAGCATAGCATATAATTTTGAAACAAACTCAATAGATTTTAAAGTCATCTCTGCAAAGAAGTCAGGTTTTACATTTAATGAAGCAGATGTATATTCGAATGAAAATTTCAAAGCTATTGCATGGTTAGATAATGACGATTGCTTTAAGAAAATATTTAAATACAGTGACTCAACGATGTCAATAGATGACCTTCGTGGAATGTTACCATCGACGTTTACAGTAGAAGGTTCAGCAGGATTGCTTACAAGATTGTCAATTGGTGGTATTTGGTCTCGTGAGAACATTGTTATAAAATCCAGTATAAGTGAATTTGCTGAAGAATCTATATTATGTCTTTCAAACTACATGT